TGCCACTGAAATAATGTTTGTAAATGGGATCGATTTTTCCGTAAAAAAATTACTCAGGACATTAAATATTGATTCGCCTTTAGTGTCAGTCTCCAAAGTTCTGGCAAATAGCAATTCTTCGTGAATTTCTTCCTCAACAATAAATCGGACATATGCCAATAGTAATGCTTCATTACTGGGTAACGTTGACTCGTCCAGTTGTATAGAAAAATGAGTTTTTTGCAGATGATTGCACAAAAAGCTTTCGATATCAGAGCTCATTTCATCAATGCGTCTTTGTACAGTATTGTTACTTAATGGAATTCTTTTTAGTACGTCAAATGGAGATTTGTGCAAAACAGTTTTTAAAACCTCTTCAACAGCGGGTAAAATTAATTGTTCTCCGATAGTGTGCGGTTTTCCAGATTTTGCTATAAGTAATGAGATATTGTAAGATGCCCGCAAGCCATCATCGTTACTTTGAGATGTTGAAGCGAACATACTGTGCATGGTGGGTCTCTTTCCATATTTTTCTTTCAATGTTTGAAAATATTTTAAATCTTTACCTATTTTATCAGTATGACACCTTTTTAGATGATCTTCGAGCTTTGATGGTTTCATAGAGTCATTGCTCAAAACTTTGTTGCATAATAGGCACATGGGCAATTGTTTGTCTGCCTCTGATGGAACAAAACCATATTTCAAATAATCGATACTATATTGTCGACATTTTTTCTTTGCTGTAGCCATGTTTCGTGTCAGTTACCTTACCTGTAAAAAAAAATGTTTTAGTAACCAAGTTTTTTCTGAATATAGGTATCACACCGCAGCCTTTGTCAGCACGCGGAAATAGAATTACGGCTTGTAAAGAGATCCAACTAATAAACCGCTGAGACAAATACAGACGTTTTCACAAAACGGTATCAATTTTAAAGTACATAATTTACCACTCACCTTTAATAGTATAAATAAAAATTGGTGTACTCAGTATCGAATACTGATCATATTTGTGTAGGAAAAAATAAAAGTCGAAATCCCAAAATTGTCCATAAAAACGATAACTAACATTTTATTAAATCAATGAGTTCACGCGCTCCGTGTATTTGCGTATTTTTTGGTTCTGCAGGCTTCATTGTTAAACGTGACAAACTGGCATCGAAGTTCAAGCCCTCAGTTCTTTCGCGTCGCCCGCGCACCGCTCGCTCTTCCGAAAGGAATAGTTTTGATAAAATAGTTACTTCAAAAACCAATTTAAAATGATTATGAAATTACTGTTTTATAAAATTAGTAGTTATTTTGCAAGAAAAAATTACAAAATTAATTAGCTCTGCAATATTGCTTATTCGGCCTTTTTTAGAGGCAGTGTTTCTCTCATGTGAAAAACAATTGAATAAACGTGCTGTGTTTGTCTTCAAATCGAAAGAGGACAATTAAAATATCTGTAAGTTACTAAGTTACTTCTATCTATACAGGCCGTTGTGATCAACCGACTAGGGGGCACACGTAAACAAAATACTTAAGTACTCATAACAAAAAAGGTAGGTTACTTTACTTTTCTCCGGCACTAGCAAACACAGATATAAATTTTCTCACAACTTTTTTCCAAATTCCAGCCTTTTTTTTCGAAATTCCGGTAAATGAATGCGTTTGCCTTGGCATCAAGTATTTATAGTGGTGATCAAGTTCATGTCTGAACAAGCGATTAAGCATTGTCGGGCGATAGCGCTTTTTGCAAGTCTGTACACGAAATTGTACGTGTACCATCGAATACGCAAGTTTGGACAAGTAACAGTCGCTTGCCTTATTAAAATATTATCTGCTTAGATAGGTACTTAAAAACAATGTAGGTAGGCCCTTATAAAAACTATGCTTACATTTTTGCTCTTTACTATCAAAAGCAGATAAATTTTCGTGGACCCCCATTAACATCTTATGGACCCCCATTTTTGTTCACGCCTACGTAGACTCTTCAGCAAGTCTCCTGTGGACCCCTGGGGGTCCACCTGGACCACTTTGGGAATCACTGGTTTAAACAATATAAATATATCAGTTGACCCACTCTTCGCCCGTATCAAAATTCCTCCCGCCGCTCCCCGCCTGTCTTGTAGACTTGGGTCAGTCTACATCCGTTGCTCGACATGTACACAGCGTTCCAAGGTTATTTTAGTTTTGTTTTCGGCCCGACGCACAGTGCTTCGAACATATGGCTCTAGAGGACAAAAATCCAAAACTTCTCTTTTATTGTAAGCAATTTATTCAAACTAGGTTTATTTGACACAAATGATGAGTACTCTCATTGTACTAAATGATGATGTTCTTAGTCCCACGTTTATGAAAAAAATCTTATAAATAATAATAGCTGTTGGAGCTGTGTTCCATCTAAGCAAATAATAAAGTTAGAGTATGAAAACGGTGTAAGTATTAAATAAATTCCTGTGATAAAAAAAGAATTGGAATAACATTAGAACATGATTCCTACAATATAAGCCTAATATAAGATAAAAATGTTTTTCTTTAATGAAAAGAAACATTAATGTTATATTTAATTAAAAACTTAAGATACTATAATTTATTTTAGGACAACAAAATGCATAGATCGTAACTACTCTGATTCAGGAGAATCACTGCTGACAGAATCTTCCAAATTTATAGTATCCAAATCACAGGTAGATGAAGTATACTCACATATAAGATATTTCTGTACATCATTTTCTAATATGTTACTTTTTCGCGTTGTTACTGTTCATTTTGTCGGTATGAGGGGTCTGATGTTAATAGTTACCTCTTTAATAGACCATATCCATATATATTTTTTTTCCTTTCTTGGGTATGAGATTTATAATAAATTGAAAGATGGACACTTTTTTTTTATGCGACGTTTCGCCCAACATAGTGGGACTTTTTTCAGGCACAAGTGGTGTCTCATTTGACTGGAAGGTTTATCAATATCTAATAAGAACATATTTTTTGAAATACAAATAATTTGAGTTCTTGTCCTTATGATCGCTTCCAAGTATTAGCCAGATCGGCATTGCTTATAAATTTTACTCCATCTGAAAAGTATTATAAAATAAAGTTCGTCGCAAGCAGACGCAGGTGAACTATACAAAAATTAAAAGTGTATGAATATGGCAACAAAATATTCAATAAATACGATATGTTTTGATATGTTTTTTTTAAATACCCTTTTTGAAGTTTGAAAACGTAAAATTTTTATACCCATTTAAGAACTCATCTTAAAAAATAAATAAAACTAAACAATCACGAACTTATTTAGATATAAATTTAAAGTACATACCTTGTTTTAACAATATCCATAGTGGCTTTCAATTAAGTACGTACCCGTTTAACTCCATAATATACAGAACTACTATGAATGTTATTCTTTTCACTGATGAGATAATGATCGCAAAATTTATTTCTTTTGGTGAAAATATTTGCTGCCAACAAAAAACGCTGTTTATGAAAAATAATATACAGGGATGGTTGAACATTGCTATAAGTATAAAATTATATATTCAGATATTAGTAAATTTTAACTTATTTTTTGATTTTTGTCCATGGGACGAAGCACTGTGCGACGTATAGGGTGAACCAAAAATAGTGTTTTAGTTGTTTTGTTCAAATTGTGAATAAAATGTCTACTAGAAATATTTGTGCAGTGGATGGTTGTGAAAGTAGAATGACAGACAATATACCGTTCTTTAGGTGCCCAAATGATGAAGGAAGGTATGTGTTTATATAGTATAGGATATTAAATATATAATAATTAAAGTATTAGACATATTAAGTATATTATAATTATGGAAACCTAACTATGAATAAATTGTTTTAAAAATATACATATAAATTAAGAAAAGATTTTACTCGGAATATGCACAAAATATTTATTTTTAACAATTAGTTTATTATTTTAGTAGATAATTTACTATTATGTTTTGGATTTTGCAGTATTTACCGGTTTGCAATATGTTTTACTTTTTAGGTGTTTGTATTTAACTGTAACTACCTACCTGGAAAGTCCAAATTTTATCTTCTGCTATTGACAAGTTTTTTAGAGTTTTTACTAAATTTTATGTAACAGTAAATATAACAATTGAGGAGCACATTGGAAAAACTGTGATATTATTATATATCGGTCACAGTCTCGATCCCGGAACAGGTCCTGAGGAACTAGTTCCTTGAGAAACCACGAACTTGCTCCTTTCATTCCGGGGTCGGAATAGTTCATTGGAACTAGTTCGTCCATGAACTACACACCACAGATCACATACAAACTACACACCTCTAGTAAGTGCATACACCCCACGTATTTCTGATAATGGAGAAATATTAACCTGCAAAGTAACCTGCCGATTGGCATGGTGAGGGTGGCCGTACGAAGGGGTAAAGCAAAGAAAATCTATGATTTTCTCTTATTTCAGAAAGAACATATCTTCGGATCGTCACGAGGTTTGTAACAGGACATTGTCTCCTCGATGAACACCTCAGTAAATTAAAGCTATAATAACGGCATTCCGCATTCTGTAGTGACAATGGGAACTTTTATTATTTTGTAAGAATCTCCTCATCCAGAACACCTCATCACTGAGTGCGCTTTAAGTGCGCCGAGACGACAATCATTTGGTACGACTGATATCGGAGATGGAGAACTAACCTCTGTAAAACCGTCTCAAATACTCGCTTTTGTCAAAATCCTAAGACTGTATGATGAGCTTTAACTCAAGGAAGGGGAACTCAATAGATCTGTAAGATCTAAATCCCAAAATTCCTACTTAGACGCCCCTACTATAAACCAAAATAATTACTTATTTTGATAAAGAAAATCTAAATGAAAGCAGCGTGTATGAATTTTATTTTAACCAGCTGTAAATAGAACGGCCTAGTTATTTGAACACACAGTTTGGAGATTTTAATCTAGTTTATCTTTAGTTTTGTTTGAATTTAGATATCAAAATTTTATGGTAAGTCGTGTTAAGGCTTTTAATTTCTTGTTTATTTTTGCAGTTATTGTTTTATATCATCTAGTAACTACTTTAAACCAGATTCAATTTACTTTACGAGCGCAAACTTTGTCAATTGTACCTAAAATACAATATAAAGAATAACATTTAACTGTTTAAGTGTGTAGTTACAGTAAAACCTTCCCAAAATTAGCATAACTAGTTAAAACACTACAATTTTCAGTGCACGATGTCTAGTACCAATCAGTTCCAAAGTATAGAACACATTTTAAAAAACAGTTTAAATGATGAAGACTATGCAAAAGTTAGACAAGTACTATACGGAAATGCTACACCGTAAGTAAATATACAGGGTGAATCTTAAATAAGTGCATTTTTTTTAGCGGTAGTAAAAACGTTTTTGTCGCGAATTTTTTTTTTTAAATTTGGATTTTTTTTAGTTTTTAGTTAAAAAACATAATTTCTTGATAATTATGATAAAATTTACAAGAAAGAACACCCAGAAAAGATAAAGCGGTTCTTAAAATTTAAGCAAAATTAATTTTTTATTGGAAATTTTCAAAGTAAAATAACTCGGAGATTTTGGACTTATTTAAATAACGGTAAAGAGAAAATATCTTTCTTTTATCGAGATCTACCAACCCTGAAAATATTTGCACTTCTTTGAGACTCACCCTGTATACACATGATAACACAGGGAATAAAAAAAAACATTAATCTTTTATCAATCTATCATAGAGAAATTGAGATTCCAACCCTAATTCAAGATACAGCAGAGTCTTATGACATAGAACTGAAAGCTTACAGTATTCCAGCCTTGGCAGAACAAACTAGGCCTGTTCGTGCAGTTAGAATAGGCTTATTTCAGGTAGTTATACAGGGTGTTTGAAAAAAGCACAGCCAAATTTCAGGTGAGTGATTCCATATCAAAAAATATGAAAAAAACTATAAACATGGGTACACCCACCTGTATCTTTAAAACTACGCATTCCCGGATTGTATGTTTATAGGATTTTTTTTCATATTTTTTGATGAAAAATCACCCCCTCAGATTTCGCTGTGCATTTTTCACATACCCTGTATCTATTTTTAGTTGAGTATATCAATAAATATGGTACCTATTTACTTATTTATATATTTTTAGCACCAAACACCCTTACCAACGAACTCAAAAATTTCGGAAATGCATAATGCCATGCAAAAATTAGCTGTGAAAGCCATTCACCTCGCTAGCAATTTAGGAGTTAATGTCTTCTGCTTTCAGGAGGCTTGGAGTAAGTTAATATATACAGTGTGTCCAAAAATATATGAGCCGCATATAGGAAAAAAATATCTTAGCTTTCTCGGAATTTTTTATTATACATACACAACATTGTAGTCAAATGATTGGATTTTTAGAAATTGTAAGTGATGGTATCGTTGGAGGACTGCCAAAGCTACAATTTAAAATTATTTTCAAAAGGAACAGAGTGTCCCAAATAAAAAAAAATATCAAAGTTGTATTTTTTTAAATGGAACGCCCTGTATATTATTACATTTTTAGTTTCTACTATTAAAATAAAGGTAAATTTAATTAAGGTTTACCGCACTTTAATCTTACCGTTTTTGAAATATTTTCGATTTTGAATTACAGAACAATTTCAATGCTTCATTTGTCTAGGCGTATTTAACTTTTTAAAACCAAATATTGTACTGAAATTTTTCTGCCTACTAAATTTTGTATTGCAATAGTAAAAATATTACTACCTTGTACAGAGTGTCTAAAAATTTATATTAAATAATTACTAGCTTAAATGGTAATAACTTGTTTAATTTAAATGGAACACCCTATATATTTTACGTGAATGAGATGCACAATTTAATTGTCTATTAAATTGTAATACGCCATTTTTTACCTGTCTCTGCAAGTTTTCGTAGAAAATGCATTTTCTTATAATTTAGACCTCAATTATCAATATACCCATGGAATACGGAATATTGACATAATATACAGGGTGAGTCTTATTGAAATAAGTGCAAATATTTTTAGGGAGGGTATATTTCGACCCCAGGAACACGCCTATGAGGTTTTTGTCACAAAAAAGATGTTGAAAATCGTGAATTTTCTATTTAATTTTCCTGTATATTTTAGAAAACTGCTTGTTAACCACAAATTTTCACACGGTATAATTTCTTAATAAATAATCTTTCGAAAAAAAACGGCGTCTTGGCTTGGAAATGAACATTAATGACATTCCCCATATGATTTTGCACATAAAATGACAGCGATGTTCATTTCATAGCCATCGCTGACGCTTCTTTTTCGCTCATACGCTACTTCAATATTGTCCATTTGAAGTTTGACCGGAAGTGGAGACCTTTTATCAAGAATAAAAGTGTCAAATGCTTTTGGACATACCATAATATATTATAATTTTAAAATTTAATTTTCTCTGAGTCTGTTATTAATATTTTAGATATGCCTTTCGCGTTTTGTACAAGAGAGAAATTCCCTTGGTGTGAATACGCAGAAGAAGCCGAACACGGTCCCACAACCAAGTTTCTACAACAGGTACTTATAACACTCCCGCTATACACGGGGTCCCGTATAAGAATGCACACAGATTACAGGGAGGTCAGAAGCTTTAAAAAAAGACAATAAAAAATCCAGGTCCGTATTTAAAAAAATAAACTTGATGATGGTATCTCGGAAACGAAACGTCACATTGAAAATCTAAGAACACCAACTTGTAGAGCAGGAAAAGTTGCGATGGAATGTGACATTTGTATATAGAGAAAAAATAAAACTAAGTCGGAAAAATTCGGGTTTTCCCAAAATATCTTCGGAAGTAATCGTATTTTTTTGGATTAACATTAATTGTTTAAACATGACGTTGTAGGGTTTAGCAAAACGTAACTTTTTTTCTAGTTTAATCATCTCTGTATCTCTTCTGGTTTACGAGATATTCCTGTAGTGTGCATTCTTATATGTGACCACTGTGTATATATTAATATAAAAAATATAACGGAGCTATTGCATCGGCTGTAGGACATAAACTGTTCAGCCATCGTTCACCATTACGTCATCATTATTTGTCAAATATGAGTTTTACAGTGTGTCTGAGATCAGTTCATATTGTTCAGAAAATTTTAAGTACGTTCCTATATTATCGATTGAGCGAGTTCCGTTTTTTCGGCATTTATACATTTTTTCTTGAGCTCGTCATCAGTACTTTTAATTCCAATCCTTTGGACTGTTGAACTTCTTATTTCTAAAGCATCAGCAACTCGCTATATTATTTTAAAACGCTATCGATTTGTATTTTACAGAGGATAAGATATATAAATAACCTGATCAACCCTGATTTTGGTTAAATCTTTGAGGCATTTTTGCAATAAAAAAATTGAATTTTATTTTACAACAACAATCAAATTTTAATTTTGACATTGATCGATGTCCGTCAATAAAATTATAATCCCAAATCAAATGACAATGACAACTACTAAAAAGAATATGCAGTAATTTACGAAATGCCGTAATGACGTCACCAATCTCTTTGATCTGGTTGGCAAGTGATTGAGAGAGTTCGACAAAATATATGACGTGATTCTGAACGATGGCTGAACATTCTACATATATAACCCGGTATAATATATTCAATTAAATTTTAGCTAGCAAAAGAAAACAATATTGTTATAATTTCACCAATTTTGGAAAGAGATGGGACGCATTCTGACACCATTTGGAATACAGCGGTTGTCATAGATAACCACGGAAACTATCTGGGAAAACACAGAAAGAATCACATACCGCGCGTTGGCGATTTTAACGAATCCACCTATTATTTTGAAGGAAATACCGGACATCCTGTATTTCAAGTAATAAAATATGTATTACATAACATATACTGGGTGTTATTTAAAATTCGACTCTTTTACCGTTATTAATATATAATTTGCCCATTAGGTTGTTTGCTTTGGTTGTTAATTCTTGCAATCAACGCTTCTATCTATATATTTTTACAAAGTTTAATCAGAAATTTGATTTTAGACCGATTATGGAAAAATTGCAATAAATATTTGCTATGGAAGACATCACCCACTAAATTGGTTAGGTTTTGGTCTAAATGGAGCAGAAATTGTATTTAATCCATCCGCTACAGTAAGTACTAAATAACTCTCCGAATATCTAAATCGGAAAGAATTCTTGGCTGTTATGTATGATTCTTTGAATATATAAGAAGACTAAGGAAGGAGCATATCAAAAATCTTAGGTCCACCGCGATAGGCCCCAAATATGGCCGACTTAAATTCCGGTTTATCAGTGCCGTTCTAATTTTATTTAAAAAATGTAAAACTATGATGTAGGGTAGACGTGGGGTAGACCCAATATTTTTTTTTATTTTACGTTGTGAATAAATGTTGGTAGTTATTAAAATTGTTATAAAAATATAAAATTCAAATAAAAATAGATAAGTTATAATAATTATTTATAACCATAAACATCCGATACGCTACTGAAGCAGGTAAGTCAAATTGACGTATCTAAATTCTTTGACATCTAATCTTTGTGCAGCCACACTATCCTAAAAACGGCGTATCGGCGTAACGGTGTAACGACTTTGAATCGATTTCCAGTAATTCTATTGGCTGAAATTTTTGACAGATGAATTTGACAGATAAAATTTCTGACAGATGAATGTTTCAGCCAATAGAATTACTGGAAATATATTCAAGGTCATTACGCCGTTACGCCAATACGCCGTTTTTAGGATAGTGTGGCTGCTCCCTGATATCTAATCTTTGACAAGTAGTAAATAAAAGCAAAAATGCAAGAAAAAATATATAATTAGTTAATTTAAGTGAATTTCATAAATGATCGGTTTACTACACGTATGTATATTATATAGTCACTTACTAGCGAAAAGTTGTTCCATTATTTCACTCGATTTTTGCTACCGCACGCTACACAACCAACTATTTTAGAGTCTTTTTCGATAAATCGCGATAGTGTCACTGTTAATTTAAGTTCTGCCACAATTTCCATCTAGATTTACTACCTTTATACAACTATCAGTAGTAGAATAAATAATAAATAACATAAAATAAGCTCCGTAAAGACTGACAAATCCACAAAATTTCAAATCAAATTCAAATGTGTCAAATGAATCGTCAAACAGAACTGTCAAGGATCCCCACCCTAGAGTGCTTTTTCCGCCCACCATGCATGAATACATGGATAGCATTATGCTCCTTCCTTAGTCTTCTTATTCAAAGGTATGATTGAACGAGACCGAGACGGTACGTCAAGAAACTAAGACCTGCATGATAAGTGCGAATCAAATACGTTTAAAATAAAGTATACGGAGGGTACCGCTTAAATTCCTGTCACGATATTGAAGGATGGCTATAGAATTTCAATGCATTTCCTACATAAGTCTATCCTTGGTTTGTAGGAGGTTTGACTAAACAAGGATGAACCTATGTCTTGAACATTCGACTCGATTTTCTGTCCTCCTTCAATACTGGGACGTAAATCCTCTCATTGCTCTTATGGGGAGGCCGTCGTATATTTTATTTAAACGTATTTGGTGCGAATAGAGCTTCATGCATTTTTTTACTAGGTACATAAAATAAATCAAAAATCACTAATTTAGGTGGGTGATTTGAGTGAACCTTTATGGGGCATTGAAGCTAGAAACGCTGCTATAGCAAACGGCTATTTTACCTGTGCAATTAACAGAGTAGGCACTGAGATTTTCGAAAACGAATTTACGTCAGGTAATGGAAAACCGGCTCACAAGGATTTCGGACATTTTTATGGTTCGAGTTACGTAACAGCCCCCAATGGATCCAGAACGCCGGTAAGTTTTATACATGGTAAATTCTGAATACCAGGTGCGTCTCAAAAGTGGAACAACCGCCATAGATCAGCAATTTAGAGACGTGGCTGGCCGCTTCGGCTTGGGCAGCAGAAATGAGCGAGGAGAATGAATGCTCCAGTTCTGCCAGAAACACAATCTAACAATAACAAACACCCTATTTCATCACCATGTCAGGCGACTGGACACTTGGAAGTCTCCTGGGGACCGATACAGAAATCAAATTGACTATATCATGGTTAGATCTCGCTGGAAGTCGTCCATACTAAACTGCAAAACATACCCTGGTGCTGAATGCGGGTCGGATCACCAACTGCTAGTAATGCAATTTAGATTACGTCTAAAGAATATCCGTAAACCACAAACAAAAGCTGCAATTACGGACGCTACTAAAGAGATGTTCCAACGGGAAATACAGCAAAAAGTAGCTAACGATGTTAATAACATCATGAATATACAAGACCCAGACCTAGAATGGGAAAACGTTAAAAGTCTCATGAAAGAAACAGCAGATTCAATTATATCCAGAAGTCATAACACAAAACGACCCAATAAACACTGGATAACACAAAGAACTCTCGACACAATCGAGGAACGGAAAGAAATAAAAAGGAAAGGGTTAACAACACAAAATTCTAAAGAAACCTACAGAAGATTGTGCAAGAAGATCCAGGAACAATGCAGACAAGATAAAAATAATTACGTAAAGAAAATCTGCAGTGAAATTGAAGAACACCAAAATTCAAACCAAACACGAGATTTATACAAGAAAGTAAGGGAACTCACTCGAAAATTCAAACCTAGAACAACTGCTATCGAGGACGAAAATGGAGAAGTACTGTGGAACAACGAGGACATATTGCAACGATGGAAACAATATTGCGAAGAACTATACTATATAAGGAAGAAGTAGATGTAGTAAACGAAGTTCAAGTACCTCACATAATAAATGAACTGACTGAATGAACTGAAGAAACGACTGACGTCAAAACCCCAGGAACAGACGGTGTCTCAGCTGAAATGATAAAGTTGATAGGGGAGGAAGGTGTGAAAATAGTACATAACATCTGCAATAAAGTATGGCAGTCTCGACAATGACCTAAAGATTGGACTAATTCTGCTTTCATCCCAATTCACAATAAAGGATCCACACAAAAATGCCCGAATTATCGAACAATATCCCTAACGTCACATGCAAGCAAGATATTACTTAGGATAATTGACCGAAGACTTCAGAGGTACTTGACGCCTGAAATACCTCCTGAACAAGCCGGATTCGTGAAAGGAAGAGGCACAAGAAATCAAATATTTAACATACGCCGACTCATAGAGAAATCTCGAGAATTTAGCTCGCCTATGTTCTTGTCTTTTATAAACTACAAGAAGGCTTTCGATTGTGTGAGGTGGAAAAACCTATGGAGGGTTCTGAGCGAAATGGGAGTTCCGAATCGTCTATTGCTTGTGGCTCTTATTAACAATTTATATGACAATAATACTGCAATTGTCAACCTAGATAACAAAACGTCGAAACCTTTCAAAGCTAGAAAAGGGGTACGCCAGGGCTGTATACTGTCACCCAGATTGTTTAATGCCTATGGCGAATACATCATCAGACGTGCTTTGGAGGGCCAGGAAGGAGGAATCCTAGTCAACGGTAAAATCCTAAACAACCTCAGGTACGCGGACGATACCACCCTGATAGCGAAAAGTGAAGAAGAAATGGCCCGGTTGCTGAAAAGAGTTACCATCGACAGCAATAGTCTTGGTCTAGAAATAAACACTGATAAAACCAAACTCATTCTGATTGATAGAAGTGGTGCAGTTCGATTACACAGCCTCCTCTCTAATATAGAAAGAATAGATCAATTTATATACTTAGGGTCTTTAATAACAAATAATGGGGGCTGTGAAGCAGAGATAAGAAGGCGTATAGCAATGGCATGGGCGGCTATGATGAGCCTAGGAAAAATATGGGCAGATAGGAACATAACCAAAAACACCCATAAGACCCTTGTTCGATCTTTGGTGTTCTCCATATTCCTATACGGGTCTGAGTCATGGACCGCCAAGAGCGCTGATAGACACAGTATAGCTGCATTTGAGATGTGGTGCTGGAGGAGAATGCTCCGTATCCCATGGACAGCTCGAAGAACAAACCAGGCAATTCTTAATGAACTCGGTATCACAGATCGATTATCCAACATCTGCCGTAGACGCATCCTGCAATACTTCGGTCATATCACTCGCACAGGTGAAGACAACCTTGAAAAAATCATAGTACAAGGCAAAGTAGAAGGTCGAAGACCCAGAGGACGATCACCATCGAGATGGCTTGACCAAATAGCAAATATTACAGGTCAGCCATTTCAATCAGGCGGAAGATCGCCAACGATGGAAGATCAAAATCACCAACTGCACATAGCCATAATGTCACGATTCTTCAGACACGAAGAGACGACGAAGAAGAAGACTAACATACCAAATCTCGTTTTTTTATCTGAAAAAATAAAAAAGTTATAGGGGATGAGCCAAGAACGGTAAACTAATAGGGTTGCTCATCCTCATAAGACGTACGTTTGCCTCTTCCCGCGCTTCAGCTGACAGTTGTGACGTCATTGTAGTCCTTGTCAAAGCCTTGCCACGGCCTTGTCATGATAGTGTGTATTATTAGTTGCCTATGGTAAACTTATAAAAATAACAGCTGAGAAATTTTGAGTTAATTATTTTGTCAATTTTAAATGTGAAAAAGGTGTCTTTAAGTTTTTAAAGCTATAGAGTGTCTAAATACGTTCATTTTGTGTTGTGGATTGTGACAAAGTGCTTACTAAGTGCCCACGATATTGTTTATTAATTATTTTAAAGCAAAATATGGAAGTACTCTAAAAAGAATGCTTGCAAAAGGTGATACACTGGGAACTGCTGTTCTTAAAAATGCATTATCCGAGTATTTAATACGATTTATACAGTTAATTTTCTATACTGCATACATATAAGGTGTTTAAATAAATAAACTAAATAATGAACGTTTTGCAGTCGGCAACCAATAATGCACGTGTGTATTATTGGTTGCCGGATAAGGACTAAATAACCATGACAAGGACTACAATGACGTCACAAAGCGAGTAGTTTTCGCATGCACCTGGCGGACACTTTTGGCTGAATGAGCAGTCCTATTACGTTAACTGTTCTTGGGGATGAGCCACTTTTGAGACGCACCCGGTATATTTAAATTTTTGCAATAATTTATCGAATATTGTGCTTACAGGTGCTTATAAAAGTATTACAAATATTACGTTAACAATTAACAAAACTATAAAAAGTCAATTTTGTTAAGCGGAAACATCGATTTTTCGTTTTTTAGTTTTTATAGTCAATAATAAAGATAACTTTGTTAAAATTCTTATTTTTACTGAATTTAGGGTCTATCACGAACAAGAAATGGACTTCTTGTTACTGAAGTTGATTTAAACATGTGCAGACAAGCTAAAGATACTTGGGGATTTCAGGTATATTTTGTAATATACTTAAATATTAATTTAGTTTTAAATACTAAAAGATTTTATTTATTTCAGATGACCCAAAGATTAGATATGTACGCAAAACTATTATCGGAAGCATCAGATCATCATTTTGTCCCTCAGATAATTAAAAAGTGATGATATAAACTGATTTTATATATTTTTTTAATTAACTTTTCTTTGACCAATCTAATATATTTTTTATTTATAGGGTTCTTGGCTTTTGGTCAATATTAAACTTTTTCTGGGTTTAGGAAGTGTTTATTATATAACTAACGTTTCGGTCCAGTTTTAACTAACATTAAACTCAACATATTTCCAATACAAAAACAATTTTTACAAACAAATCGAGGGTTGCGCAATGGGATCATCCATCTCTAGTGTAATAGCCCAACTCGTTATGGAAAATCTAGAGGAATCTGTATTAAAAAAATTTAAATTTAAAATACCGTTATACTATCGTTATGTAGATGATTGTATTATGCTAATTCCTAAAGAAAAAAATGAATACGTTCTGAAGGAATTTAATGCATTGCACAAACGAATCCAGTTCACCATCGAAACACAAAAAGATAATTCAATCAGTTTTTTAGACACCATAATCTATAATACCCAGGGAACTCTAAAAACTATGGTGGTACACTAAAAAAACATGGTCCTCCAGATATCTGAACTATAATTCAAACCACCCAAAAAAACAAAAAAAATCAGTTATCATAGGTCTCACTGATAGAGCGATATCATTATCTGACCCGGAATACAGGGAAAATGCAATAAAAAAAAGCAAAAGATGCACTAATTTTAAATAATTACCCCACTCAGCTTATAAACAAAACATTTAAACAAAGAATTCACAAATATTATAATTCTGATACAAAAATTAAACAAAAAATAAACAAAAAATTCTTACCAATACCATTATAGAAGGCTTATCCCATCAACTAAAAGGTCTATTTAAAACAGATCAGTCATAAATATGACCAAAAAAAACATTACAGCACTTGTTACTCACGAAAAAAATAATAATCACACCTTTGATTACAATAAAACAAGAATTTTAAACACCGAAATTAATTTGAAAAAACGAGAATTCCTTGAAATGATTCAGATACAAAAAAACAAAAATGCAATTAACGAAAAAAAGACGTCGATAAGCTAAGTAGAATATACACACCAATCTTGTAAATAGAAACGCTTCAGTACAGAAAATACATTGAGCCGGCCATCACAATTTATTAAAATTTTAAACTGTATATGTTAATTATTGTGTCATGTGGGTGATATTGTATGAGTATAATTTTAAGTTAAATGTAATGTGTTATCACCTGTTATTTTATGCACTCATGTTTTAATACAAGTTTGACGAAGGAAATGTACATTTTGTGGTAAGTTTTATTTATATTTTTTTTACACAGTTGTAGTTTGATAATATCGTATTGTAGGTTTTGAAAAAGGTTAAAACTGGACCGAAATGTTAGTTATATAATAAACACTTCCTAAACCCAGAAAAAGTTTAATATTGACCAAAAGCCAAGAACCCTATAAATAAAAAAAAACTGATTTTATATTATATGTACATTTATACTTTTATACAACATCTAACACGCTAGTACAAATTGCTTAAAAAATCATCAAAATCAGCCCGCAAGAACAAGATATTATCATTGAAATGTAAATACAAACAAAATGAACTATACATTTTATATAGAAAATATATATTTTACTTACTGTGTTTCGTTTACATTATTATATTTTTTACTAATATTTAAAGCAGCTCTATAGAGCTGGCTGTTAATTATCCTCAAACGAATGTTCTCTTCCTCCAACCTTTTTCGCGACGTTTCTTTCTCCACACAGGTTTCATCATCAGAAAATTCGATATCTTCAGTCTGAACGTTCGAAACAGTCCATTCTTCTGAATCTAGATTCAAACTCCTTTGTAGAGGTTTAAAAATGATTTCTGGCTTGAGAACTTGCTCAAAAAAGTTGGAATATTTTGGCAAAAACCTTAAATTGGTTATAGGAGCTTTATGTTCGATGGTTTGCAATATTTGTCTACTTAAAATATCCCAAGTATAAACAAAATTATCTTGTGAACCGCTAGCTAGAACAGTGTTCTTCGAATTCAGAGCTAGAGCAACAATTTTTTCTTTATGCCCCATAAATTCGTTTTCAATCGTTTTTTCTACATGGTGCGTCAAATTTCTGGCCGGATTTTTGAGGTTATAATATTTAATCAAGCCTTTATTTGTTCCTATGTATAGTTTCCAACAGGGTGAGTCAAATACTATACTCGTGAGCGATTCAGTAAAAACCAGTCTTAGAAGAAGCTCACCTGTTGATAAATTATATAGGCAACCAGTTTGGTCCACGGAACATGTAGCAACACGAGAATGCCTTCCGAAAACTCCTAAAAATGACATATGTATGATACAAGCAAAAAATGTGTACCCTTCTTATTACGTACCTATGTGGACATCCCTAATAGGCATTGTATGGTCATTTTTGGTATATTTTGGTTCAACTTGCCCACTGAACAGATTATTATGTATAGCAATTAAATCTGCGAGGAAATACACAACCTAAGATTTCTTTTTGTTAAAACAGTTATAAATATTATTAAAGATATTTTTATATTACCAAAATGCCATCTTCTCCACTAACAACCACATATACACTGTCACTAGAAAACTTTAGACAAGTGATGGGTTGATAGTGTCGCTGTTGTACAGAGAGTAACTTTCCTGAAGCGATTAACCAAATATATAACCTTGTATCGATTGCAACAGCCAAGTACGTATTTCTCGGACATACTGCAAGACATGTAGCGGGTCCAGGTAGAATTAATCTATAAAAAACTATATATTTAATATATTCCTTCTTACTTAAAATATGTTATATTGCAATACTTTATACTCTTATCAATTTCTTGACTATTAAGTGGCCAAACATGTAATAAAGGTTTAGTTGCTTCACTGCTTAAAATATAAGACTGTCCAACAACTTCCAAAGCTTTTGGTGATACAACACCGCCGTTTTTATAAAATTTAAGAACATTTTTCGTGTTATAATCCCATAAGCAAGCTGAGTACTGTTGGGCTGTTTGTGAAGATGTTAGTAATATGTCTTCTACGACCATTTTTGAATTAACTAGACGTCTTTACTGAATGATAAACTCTTCGATGCTTATTAAACTTCGTTTAGATCCACGAATCAATACACTTTTCTATGAAAATAATAAGAAATTAAACTGGAAAATCATCTGAAAAATGCCGCAAAAAAATTTTAGGTTATATTTTTTCTAGGTTATATACAGCCAGGATGGCCAATAATATACAAAAATTCAATGTCAAATTAAAAGTCTCTAAAATGTCCCTAAAAAGTAGGGAGGAGAATTATCGATAGTTAACCGCTGATTTATTGTATTAAATTTGGTATTAAATAATTTTTAGGATTGAAATAGTTATTCTGTGGGGAGAAATTAAAAAAAATCACACACAAAAAAGTATAATTATTATTTATTGATTTCTTAGATTAGAAATTCATTCCAAAAAACAAATATAAATAAGTTAAAAAGATTATAAATAAATAAATTGTTATAAATGACTTTTTGTAATTACTTTCAACGATGATCGAAAAAAAAACCGCGTCAAGTTAGATCGGATTTTGATTTTCCCAGCCAACTCTGACGCCATTTTTTTTTCGATCGTATCGTATAGAGTACTTTTTAGTGTAAATTACGTAAGATACATATTCTTTTAAGTATTAACAATATTACTATAGTTTTAATTTAGGCACTAAGAAGTATAAGATAACATTTTGGCACCTATTGCACATTATATTTATTTAGCACATTTAATAATATATTTATATAATAACGCTGATAAAAAGCTCAGATAGAAAAATAAGTGTATATGAACAAGGCAATTCTACATCACTAAAAGTTGTTTTTTTCCATTGCGTTGGAAAAAAATATTAATAGCTGCTTCCCCATTACAACCCAAAATAATTTCGTCTTACACATAAAAGAGATGCAAGTGTCTATCACATAGTTCTTTCTAAGGCAAGAAATCATATTTGGCTGCCCAAATATTGCGTAAATATAATATTCAAGCAACATTGTTAAAAATAAATAATGTCTATCTGTGAATTATTTTTCTTACGCTATAAAATACTCTGTCCTAGTTTTCGATAAGTGATTGTGTGATATGATTGCTGAAATGTAATTTGATATAAAAGTATTACACTCTAGAGAAAAAAAAACGCCCGATATATATGTCACTATCTTAATATTTAAGCTCGTGTTTTGTAGTGTTGCCTATTTACCCTTAAGGTCCATATAATATATTAAAATATTATATTGTGTTATTTTTTATAGAAATTTACTTCTCAGAACATCAATAAAATATAAATGGTTACGGATACAAATAAATAAGGTTAAAAATGTTAAAAAAATGAACACAAATCTTTTAGAGCCAACAATTACGTTTTCATAAGAATGTTCCTCTTTAATTTTCAAAAAACTCCGAGTTAAAAAATATCCAGAACAGAAAAAGAGTCAAAAAATGATAATAATACCGTTGATTGAAAGAATTGAGAAGATACGTAACAAAATGGGCAAATTCGTGACAAGGTTGATTTGATTTCGCCTTACATCTCAAGTGCTGTACGGTGCAGCCTCCACTCGTTCTGCGGCCAACGCATAAAACACTCATTTTCTCTAATTCGGCTAGCGAAGGCATATCGAAGACGGTGTGGAACTGAAAGCGACAGTGTTGCCATATTAAAAGTAATATCTGTAATACATTTGACGAAAATATCTTTGGATGACAAATTCGCGTTGAGAGTATTGAAATTTATTCGTGAATAAAGAACAAAAATTAAAATTCTTTTTTAGGTACTGAATATTTAGTATGCTCGAAAAAAGTCGTTTAGTTGGCTTGGAAATGACGATTATTGATATTTACTATAATAATTTGCATATGAAATAACTGCGATCTTCATTTCCAAGCCAACTCTGACGTCGTTCTTTGTTTAATCATATAAGATTAAATTGTTCAATGAAAATCCGTATTATTAACGTACTGTACCCAAAATCCGTAAATCTACGGATTAATCCGTAGTTCTGGCAACACTGTCTCCGGCAACCACCGACTCTGTCACGAAATCACCGATAAGGTTGCGCATCTTCTTATTTCTACAATCAACAACAATACATAAAAAAAATAAAATAAAGCTTAGTACAATTATTTAGTACATTTTCGAGACCTTCTCCGGTCCTATCTAAGAAGTACCTTTACTGAAATGTACTGTAGATACAGTTATTACTCTCTTTCTATATCATAATCCGGATAATTTTAACCCTTTTAGTTTGAAAATTATGTAGATTTTAAGCGTAGGCGTACCAGGGTTGCCTACGGACCCATCTTAGTCTACCGTGGGTCTGGGCGTGAATCTTGACGCTTGCGCTCTCCGCAGCTCGTACTGTTTCTTTGACGCTCTGCATCAAGTTTTGGGCGTTGCCTTCCAACATTTCGGTAGCTTCTCTGTCTTCCTCAGATCCTAGAAAAAACAAGTAAAATACTTATTTGTTTGTATTAAATAGTTATAATTCTTCGTGACTGACACTGAATTACTTTAAACTACCCAACAAAAATACATATGTAATCGCAAAACAATTTCCTATGCACGTGATCAACATTGAGTGACAAGCGATGGCGACAGCGCTGCCAGATTGTGATGAATTTATGAGATGAATCTTAAAAATATACTTATTATATCATGTTTTAAAGATTTTTACATTTTATTTTAATTTAAAAATAAATATTTTAGTAATTAATTGGTTTATTTCTTTCATAGCTTATTTTATTTATTACATATTGGCAAAAATTAGTCCATTATGAAGATAATTCTAAGCGTTATTATGGGTTATTTATTTATATATTGATGTACATCTTATAAAACCACAAGTGGTAATAAAAAGTAAGAGGTTGCCATTAATGCACAAACTAATAATCGAAAATTTACTAAAAACTGACGTAGAAATAACTGTGAAAGTGGTTTAATGTGCCATAACCAACATGAGATACAGGCCAGAGACATCGATTTGTGACGTCACCGCAATAGTCGGGCTTTGGAATTGTGCCATATGGTACTGCATATAGTTTTTGCATAAATAATAGTATTTATTGATAGTTTTGCCAGATATAAATATGAAAAATATTATACAGAAAGGTATTAAAAAATAACATTAACTTTTTATCGCGTTAAAGTAATTGAAAAGCATTAAAATTTAGATCTAAAATACGAATATTAATATGAAATAAACAAGAGCATAAGATGAGCAGAATAAAATCCAGATAATAAGAAGCATATCCTAAAATTGCGTTAGCGAATATTTAGCAGTTAGTAATAATATACCTTGTGATAAAGTTTCCAAATATTAAAAAATTTGAAAACTATACTTTATCGACAAGTTAAGAAAATGTATTGTATATGATAAGGGCAGAATACATTTTAAAGTTTAGTTAAAACGTTGTGCCGACGTTGGATTTGTACTACAGCAAAGTAGAAGCTTCTGCGACGTCGAATAAACGTTGTCTTCTAAACTTTTTTGCTTAAGTGATCTTCAGGTGATTCCGACAACGTAGTTACAACGTTGGACAATATAGAGTTTTCCGACGTCAGTTTCAGGACCTATTCCAACGTTATGCAAACGTCGTCTGTTTTACTAATTCCAACGTTGTTTAGATTTCCTTATTCTTACGTTGGTAGGACGTCGGGTCACTACCTTTTTGCAACTGTATTGAACCATAACCTTAAATCTTAAATTTTCACTTCATTGTTCTGTTCAGTCAGACAGTTCAGTGCTGGTTTTGTTTTTATAAAAAAAACTTAATTAAAAGATTGGGACATTTAACTAAAATTTGATTGTCTGGTGAAGCTACCTAAGTAATGGATTTGTAAATAAACGTAATATTCATTATTATGCGACAGAAATCCCATACTGTAGCACACAGATTTGATACTTTTAATAATACATGCCTTCTATTGAGAGACTAAAAGGTAATTGCCTCGTATCCGAGCCATCATAATAGGAGAAGAAGACCGAAAGTCAAATCTTGTCTTATATTTTCACTTCTTGTCTTATTAACACAATTTTCTCATTAAAATAAATATTGATTTTAGGTATAGGAAGTTATTAATAATACAAGATTAAACAACTACACAGTACTTCACAGGAAGCTATCGATTGCGACTAAAATCGTAAGTAATTACTAATTTTGAAAAGTTTTTTTTAAGATCAAAATAAGTAAAACTAAAACCTAAACTATCATTTGAGATTAAACGGGAAGTTCTAAATAATGTTGCCTATTCTAAACAAGAAAAATGTATAAGTTTTATAACATCTCTAATTAAATTTGGACGAAAAGAATATTTCTGTTTGCTGTAGGTAATTTTCTCAGGGAAAATACGTAAATAAAAATGACTTTTTAAGTCAAAAAAAGTTATTCCAAAAAAAGACTGTCCTTCTCAAAAAAGGACAGGTGGCAACCCTAGGTATTTCTGGAATAGAAATTTAATGGCAAATCTACAACTTTAGTTTGAAAATATGTTCCGGCCACCTATGTTTACAAAAATGTCGAAAATGTGCTTTACCATTGCCTCCATATTCTAAAAAAAATTGAAAGAAAAGTCACCAACCACAAACCTAATATAGAACTGTTTCGGAAGCCTGAGTCACTCTGTAAATATTCAAAAGTTACTGAAAGTTTATATAGAAGTAACTGAAAGTTTAAATTGAATATCGACGTTGGAGCGATTTTCGAAAACTACCTACTAACGTTTCAACATAAGTATATGTGGGATATCAATTATATTATTATATTAGACCTTATAACAAAACTCATCTAACGAAAAAGTGTTAATGTAGTATATTAATATGGAGTAAAAATTTTACTAATTACTTTCTCTTTTACTTTACTACTTAAATTCGTTCCAAAAAACGATACGCCACTGGCCATTAGAACAATCCAAATGTGCCTAGTTGCCGGGGTCGGAAATTTTAGACTTCCCTGTCTCTTCTGTCCTTGTTCGACACATTGGAATGTTTGATACACTACCAACGAGTATTTATGAATGAGATGTTCGGTCTATCTTTATAATGTCTTTGGTTTAAACTAATTTTTGCAGCTTTAATCTTAATAAAATATCTGTTAAAATCATTTGCTCTATAAAGTAAAATGAAGAGCAGCTCGCTATCTTATATAAATTATACAACAAATTTAAACATTTTTGTCAAAATTTCAATTAGTCAGGTTTATAGGCTTTAGTGTCAATTTCGATATGATTGATGAGATGCATCGGAAAATATGTTTTACGATTACCGTAGTTCATACCAATTATTAAAATTTCGATGTATAGGGTGTCCCAATATTTCGCGGACTATAGAACTACTAGTTCTCTCTATAAAAAGTACCTTGTTTGTCCGTTTAGTCGAAAATCTTATGAACCTCAGTCTCAATTTTTTTTTTAGTTTTAGTAGAGTTTACTAATAATAAATAATTTATTAGAATTCGTAGCGAAATCGACGATATAATAGGTTTGTTCCAACCAGCATTTCGAGATCGTTTCGAAATCATACTCGAATTGGTTTTCTTGCACTTTGTTAGCATTTAGCATACGCGGACTTCGAATAGTTTCGTGACGGTTCAAAAAGTATTAACGATGGAACGCTTTGTGGATTGTTTTCGGGACTGTCAAAAGTGTCAAGCGTGCGTGTATCGATCGGTTTTTTGTTTTTGTTCGAGGAAACAAGAAAATACGATTAAAGCTTTACCTAAATATTGTTCATTTTTCACCCTTTCACTAGGCAGTAACTCCAAATTGTCACTATCTGAAGTGGAAGTAAAGAAATCAGTCATACCATCGTCACTCGTCCTTAATTATTATCTATAAATAATTATGAAAGTGTACAATTTAAAATTTCCGAACGATTTACTCCACACAAACTCACAAACAAAAGTATAACGCACACGTATTCGAATTCGTAAAAAAAAATAACCAAGACAGAAGCATCAGCCGGACGCCGGACCAGAATCAGCTGTTAAAAATCGATAATCCCGCCAATATGCTTTAATGCGCAAGTCAACCCAAACAGTTCTCAATTTGGACCATGTACCGAAATTACCGTTCTGAAATCGTAACTAAACGATCCCAAGGTAGGTTGGTACGCAGATAGGATCGTCCGATAACCGTCAAATCTCGGTTGGAACACATTTGAATTACTGCGCACGAGCGTGATCGTTCGGTGACGGTTCTGCGGCGGGTTGGAACAAACCTAATATTGAGATATAAAAATGTTAAAATATGTCTACATACCTTTAACTTTTGTTCCTTGATATGCAATAAATAACACAATTTAAAAGCGATATTTACAGCTTATTTAAACAAAATATTTGTGATAAATACACAGTACAGTGCAAACTATTATATCAAAAATATATCGCTAACAAACTTATATGTATCTTACCTTGTGAACCCAGCATGGTAGCTTTAACAGTACTCAAGATCTTCAGCTGAGTGGCAATCGTGGGTATTCTTTCGCAAACCTGTAGTAAATTCGTTCTGATTCTTTTGTCAGTACATTCTTTAGCTAGTTGCTTAGCTATCCTCGTGACGTCAGCGCTGGCATCAGCAATAGCCTTAGCGGTGGCAATGAGTTCACGTTTAGAGCCTAGAACGAGTATTAAGATAATGAGTATAAAACAGCGATACATGTTGATATCAATATTAATTTAATTTAAAATATACCTTTATCGTCGTTATGCACTAGTTCTGAAAGTCTGGCCATCAATTTGGCCATTCTTTGGGCTGCAGCAATCAGTTCATTGTCTTTGGCAGACCATTGACGTACTTCTCTATGTAAATTGTGTGCAGCAACCTAGTAAATGTTATATGTTAATATTTAAAATCATTTCGTAACGATATCATGACAAAAATCTATAATAATCGTAATATAGGTATCATAAAAAAACGGGGCCAAAGTTGGCTTGGATAACGATCGAAGATATTCACAACATAATTTTAAATAATAAGAGCTGGCAAAGGTTAGTTTTGAGTCGAGATTTCCGTATGTAAGAAGAGTATAATGCGTTTATAATGTACGGAACAAAGAGAGAATAGTAATAACGTTGCCAAACGTATGAAATAAACCGAGAAACTGTACAGGGTGCGTTAAATTCGACGTTTTTAAATGGAAACACCCTTTTCTATAGAAGATAGACAAAAACTAATGTCGGTGTCTGGAGTTCAATTTTTATCAAAAACATGATGGTGAAAACCGCACATCGATATCTGTTACCGTTTTGGAGTTACGGGGTGTTTTTCAAAAATATGCATTTTTAACAAATCGCTGTAACTTTTTTGGTATGGAAAATTTTGTATTTTTATGAAAACATTTCCAAAGCACGTACAATTTGATGGTTTAAGTATAATTTTTTTAAAATTAATAATTTAAGAATTATCAACAGAAAATTTGATTTTATATACGGGACACCATATATATTTTTAATTAACTGAAAAGAATTTAAAATTACCTTTCCAAAAATATAGCACACTTGATATTTTGTTATAATCCCCTTCGAAATACAGAATTTTTAAAAGTTCGCCACTTTTAACTAGTAGGCTTTGGACCCCTCATTGATGATATGCCCCTAATGGAACTCGAGACCATATTTTTCCAGCAAGACGACGCACCGCCTCTGAACGCTGAAGTTATCAGCAAATTTCTACAGCCAATTTCAAGAATAATTGAATAGCTGACCACGAACCCAGCCGTTGGCCGTCGAGGCCGCCTGACTTAGTGCCCATGGATCTAATCCTATGGATATATTTGCGGAAGAATAAAAGTTCCTTATTCTTCTGTATAATCTAGACAAGAATTAGAAATACTTAGCAGTTATGAGAGGGTATCTTTCACCCCCACTGAGTTAATGAATTCCGCGAGAAATATTCAAAAACCGCCCCGTCTGTCCATAACAGAAGACGGTCGATATGTCGAACACCTAGTTTAAATGTGTTGATGTTGGTTAAATATATTTTAAATTGTTATAAAATTCTGCATCTCTCATAGCAAATATATTATTTTCGTTTTAATTGATGCTCACAGCTAGAATTTTTTTGCGTTACAGCCGGTGCCGTTCAAAGCCTACTTATTTAAAGCGGGCGAATTTTTATATACTCTATATCTCGAAGAGGAATCGAGCAAAATATCAAGTGTGTTATATTTTTGGAAAGGTAATTTTAAATTCTTTTCAATAAATTAAAAATATACAGGGTGTCCCATATAAAAAATCAATTTTTCTGTTGATAACTCTTAAATTATTAATTTTAAAAAAATTATATTAAAACAATTAAATTCTACGTAAAAAGGTGCTTTGGAAATGATTTCATAGAAATACAAAATTTTCTATAGCAAAAAAGTTACAGCGATTTGTTAAAAATGCACATTTTTGAAAAACACCCCGTAACTCCGAAACGGTAACAGATATTGATGTGCGGTTTTCACCATCATGTTTTTGATAAAAATTGAGCTCCAGACACCGATATTAGTTTTCGTCTATCTCCTATAGAAAAGGGTGTTTCCATTTAAAAGCGTCGAATTTGACCCACCCTGTACACATTGCTAAGAGACGTGGAAGGGGATATAGCAGATTCGTCGCGGTCGACCGGTCGATCCAATCAGTACTTAAAATTCTAGAGAAGGGTGACAAGTGGAATTGAGTTGGTGTTCGACGGTGGTCGCGCTATTAGAACTCTGAATTCAAAAATCGATATCTCGAAATCCATTAGAAATAATTGATTGTAGTTTTTTTCAAAAGCTTTATTAATATTTCTGTTATATTTTCTTCGCAGACAGTATGTGAAAATCTTTATAAATAAAAAAGTTAAATAACATAAGTTACACGATTGCTGAAAATCGCTATGCACAAAGTAAATGAATGTTTTTTTTTAATTTTTGAATGCAAAAAAAATTAAATGGAAAACAAGCCTATCGAATTTTTCTTATTTAAACATCTTGTAAAAGATCCGAACTTCATAATAAAAAAAGTTTCAATATCTAAAGTGGTTCTTGAGTTATCGCGTGTTATGTGTTAAAAAGTTGAGTTTTTAAATTATCGCGATTACCGACGTTTTCTCGTTATAAAAAAATGGACACCCTAACGATGTTCTTGTAATTCCATTTCTGATGCTCAGAAACATACCTAATGATTTTATCTAGTTATCTTTTCGAAAAAAAGTCTTTTAAAAATAAGCGGTTTACGATCGTGATTTTACTTTACTTGATAGGGAAAGGCGTACCGGAGAAATGTGGCAACGCCGCAACAGCACACCGTCACATTTCTCTCACTCCGACTTAATAAGATCCCTATGCGATTTTCTTCCACACATGTAAATACCGACCCAAAAGTAAGAGTTGCCAGCACGGTATAAAGTGTCATCGATGGTCATTTCTGAGCCTATTATGATGCCGTTTTTTTTTGATCAAATGGCATTATTGCATTTTCATACATTTATAATAAAAAATAATATATTTAAGGATTAGAATAATGAAAGAGGACATAACTTTGCAAGGTATATACTGAAGATAAATACAATACTGTTATTATAATTATAGAATATTATGCTTTTAGATAAGAATTTTATGTTGAATATTGACCCATCCTGTATGAAATAATAAAACCCTATATATAAAAAATAACACCGTTTTTGAGATTAAAAGTCTCAATTTTTTTCATAATGATTTCGCAACCATAATTATTGTAAAATATTATATTATCATTTAATTACATTTAACATTTCTTAAAAGTTTAATTAGTCTAAACAATTAAAATTTATCTTATCACAAAATGCCTCGTGCACTCTCCTTTAAAATAAATAATTCAGAAATAATGTTCGAAAAAAAAAACGTTAGCGGTGGCTTTGAAATGCAGATCGCAGTCATTTTATATGTAAAATACAACATTGGATGGAGCCGAAGGAACAATTGGCACCAGGAAGCGACGAAAACTGGGAAACTTGGAGAGCTCTTAACAGACTGCGTGCGGGCAGAGCGAGATCGAGAGACACTCTTGCCAAGTGGGGCTATCATGTGGACTCCAACCTCTGCGAATGTGGAGCACTACAAACCACCCAACATATGTATACTTGCCCACTGTGCCCCGCCAAGTGCACTAGAGGACCTTATGGCAGCAAAGTCGAACGCAATTGACGTCGCCCGCTTCTGGGCAAAACATGTTTAGTTTCCTGTCTCAAATGATGTTTATACATGCTATGTTTGTTATATATCTATGTTTTAATGTACTGTGGTTTCATGTCTAACTTTTGTGTTTGCAATTTTACTTATTATTATTATTATTATTATTATATGTAATTATTGTTGTTATTTTGTTGTTGTATGTGATATTATATGTATATGAAATGTAATCTTGATGATGCTTCTGACACGAATAAATAATAATATGTAAAATTATATGGGCGTGTCATCGATCGTCATTTCCAAGCCAACTGGACGCAGTTTTTTTCGATCATACGCTTTGGGTGCCTACTTCCGGAGTACTCCATAAACATCTAACGTGCCATGGGCGTGAATCACCCTGTATATTATCGGTTAACTTGTATTGTTTGTCGCATATCCTTAGATATTATAAATAGACCTAAAAACACTACTTACCATAATAGGTTGACTAGCACTTGGGGTGTTTCTGAACACCTCATCCTCATCATCAGTCTCTGGTGGAGGTGGTCTCATTGGGGCACCTTCGTGTGGTAAGGGAGGCCTAGGTGGCGCTTGTTCTGTATTGAGAAAGAAATGATGTTTCAGTTAAGGTTATTCAACTTGATTCAGGTTTCAAAATGCACAGTTACTTTCCAAAAACACACAAAACATACCGTCTTCTAAAATATACTCGGGAATAAAGCTGCAAAACCCTATGACAGCATGAAATAACAAACGTCAATGTTAGTAACAAGTCATGTTATTTTAAACATCACAAAACATCCCCCTTTAGAACTTTTTCTTTAATAGTCATAAACTAAAAGTGGAAGTTTTATTGCAATGTAAGTAAGCGTTTGTCCATTTTACATTTTACTTTTTTCATACCTATGACAAATACACATATATTGAAATTTTATAATTCGTTTTATGTTATGTAATATATTCCATTTAAATGTAATATATTACTTTACAATTAAAAAAATGTAAATTTAAAAAATATATTAAAAATATATACACGCATTAATTGAAATTTTTAGTGTGGGAACAAACACGAGGGGCGCTTTATTATTTACTTTCATTTCTTAACATGACAGACGAAGTTCTAAAGGGTGATGTTTTGTGATCAACATTACCCAAAAAGCAATAGCAGAAGCTAACTAAAATAGTGAAGCTAAAATCCGGTTTAAACCATCTTAAATCTTATAAACCAATACTTAAGTAACTTCAAGTAAATTCTTGTTCTTGACAAGTAAATTCACTTTATTGAAAAAAAAATCAAATAAATATGAAGAATATCTTGTTAAAAACTGGTCAATGGTCCATATTTTTATGAGATTTGTCACCGATGCTAAAATCCACTATAATTTGGCTCAAATATTTGCCACAAAGAGAAGGATAGTGAAAGATAGGTTAATAACATACGACATAGCTTTATCTACGAAGTTTATAAGTTCTAAGGTGGTATAAATATTCATTTGTCTATAAAATGCCTGCAGTATTAAAATGCTATGTATATACAGACGTTACCATAAGTAACCCAAAAACAGTACTATGTCAATTTTGTCATACCAATCACCACTGTAAGCCACCAATCCTGAAATCCAGCACAATATGGTTTGTCACTGACAAATGAGACATTCAATACACAAATGATGTATATCATGCCAATCGCCTGTCATGCCAGGACTGTCTAAAAATTCAATGCAATCATTTCATATAGAAAAATAGTTGAGTGTGAGTCTATATAGTTCTATCATACAAATAGATGGTTTTCTTTTTATACTCTTTGAATAGTGTAGTATATTTGAAATCTTTTTTTTTAAACTTTTTTTTTAAAACCGGAGATGTACAGACTGTCTCAATATTCCGTGGATATAGAACTACTACGTATTTTTAGAATTTTTGGTTCCAAAAATACGTCAGTAATTCTCTGTCCACAGAATATTGGGACACCCTGTCTATATGATATCGCGAACGATTTAGGAAAAGCAGAGATGCAAAATTCACTAAAATAATGAGACAAAAAATGCATTCAATGTGTCCTCGAACCGCAAAAAATTACCTGAATAAAAATTACTAGAAGAAACCAGTTCATCGCAAAGGAGATCAGAATTATCCCCTAAAACGTACAAAAATTCAACAAAAAAAATATTTAAGAACTTGTACTGTTAAAAAAAACGGCGTCAGAGATGGTTTTGAAACGATTATCGCTGTCATTTTATATGTTAAATTATATGGAAGACAATGTCATCGATCGTCGTTTCAAATTCGACACCTTGACGCCGTTTTTTTATTGATCATACGGTATTATACCTCTAGCCCATTTAGGTAAAGGACTGACAGGACGCCCATAATGCTGTGGACTATACTGACCACCAAAAAATTCAGAGCCTGGTGTTGGTGTGTCTCTTAGCGGTGCGCCAACTAACATTGTAAGTTAATAACGGTTTACTCTTAGCATACACGGTGTTCAAAAATGCACAAATAATATTTAATGTATAATTTGACTGTGCATTTTTCGGACACCCTGTATAACAATTGACTTTGCAATACGGAGCTAAAAGAATCTAATATTTATGATAAAAATAACTAACATAAAGTATAGAATGTTCAGCCATCGTTCAAAGTGACGTCATACATTCAACAGTCCAAAGGATTGGAATTAAAGGGATCGTAACTGATAAAGAGTTCAGAAAAAATTAATAAAAGCCGAAAAAAAAACGGAACTCGCTCAATCAACAATAAAGGAACGTACTTAAAATTTTCTAAACAATATGAACTGATCTCAGACACTCCCTAAAACTCATATTTGACAAATAATGATGACGTAACGTTGAACAGTGGCTGAACAGTCTTTTTTAACATTTCTGCAGTCAATGATGAAGAAAAAATCAGTTATTGCAAAGTAAATTGCTGTGTTGTAAATGTTGTATACCGGGTGTTTTTCAAAAGTAAAAAAAAATAATTGAAAAAAAAACTGAAATTGAAAAAATAAAAAACTTACAAGTGGTTTTGAAGAACACCCGGTATATGTAGAAGGTTTAATATTGTTAAATTATAACATTTTCACTGAGCGGTAACTCCGTGTCACTATCTGAAGTGGGGGTAAAGAAATCAGTCATGCCATCGTCACTCGTCGCCAATTAATTATCTATAAATAATTGAAAGTGTAAATTAAAATTTCGAACGATTTGCCACTGAAACTCACAAGCAAAGTATAACGCACACGTATTCGAATTCGTAAAAATAACCAAGACAGAAGCATCAGCCGGACGCCGGACCAGAATCAGCTGTTAAAATCGATAATCCCGCCAATATGCTTTAATGCGCAAGTCGACCTAAACAGTTCTCAATTTGGACCATGTGCCGAAATTACCGTTCGGAAATCGTAACTAAACGATCCCAAGGTAGGTTGGTACGCAGATAGGATCGTCCGATAACCGTCAAATCTCGGTTGGAACACATTTGAATTACTGCGCACGAGCGTGATCGTTCAGTGACAATGCGGCCGGTTGGAACAAACCTAATATTAACGAGATATAAAAATGTTAAATATGTCTACATACCTTTAACTTTTGTTCCTTGATATGCAATAAATAACACAATTTAAAAGCGATATTTACAGCTTATTTAAACAAAATATTTGTGATAAATACACAGTACAGTGCAAACTATTATATCAAAAATATATCGCTAACAAACTTATATGTATCTTACCTTGTGAACCCAGCATGGTAGCTTTAACAGTACTCAAGATCTTCAGCTGAGTGGCAATCGTGGGTATTCTTTCGCAAACCTGTAGTAAATTCGTTCTGATTCTTTTGTCAGTACATTCTTTAGCTAGTTGCTTAGCTATCCTCGTGACGTCAGCGCTGGCATCAGCAATAGCCTTAGCGGTAGCAATGAGTTCACGTTTAGAGCCTAGAACGAGTATTAAGATAATAAGTATAAAACAGCGATAAATGTTAATATCAATATTAATTTAATTTAAAATATACCTTTATCGTCGTTATGCACAAGTTCTGAAAGTCTCGCCATCAATTTGGCCATTCTTTGGGCTGCAGCAATCAGTTCGTTGTCTTTGGCAGACCATTGACGTACTTCTCTATGTAAATTGTGTGCAGCAACCTAGTAAATGTTATATGTTAATATTTAAAATCATTTCGTAACGATATCATGACAAAAATCTATAATAATCGTAATATAGGTATCATAAAAAAACGGCGTCAAAGTTGGCTTGGATAACGATCGAAGATATTCACCACATAATTTTAAATAATAAGAGCTGGCAAAAGTTAGTTTTGAGTCGAGATTTCCGTATGTAAGAAGAGTATAATGCGTTTATAATGTACGGAACAAGAGAGAATAGTAAAAACGTTGCCAAACGTATGAAATAATAATAATAATAATATATAATATATAATAATAATAATATATAAAATAAACCGAGAAGCTGTACACATTGCTAAGAGACGTGGAAGGGGATATAGCAGATTCGTCGCGGTCGACCGGTCGATCCAATCAGTACTTAAAATTCTAGAGAAGGGTGACAAGTGGAATTGAGTTGGTGTTCGACGGTGGTCGCGCTATTAGAACTCTGAATTCAAAAATCGACATCTCGAAATCCATTAGAAATAATTGATTGTAGTTTTTTTCAAAAACTTTATTAATATTTCTGTTATATTTCCTTCGCAGACAGTATGTGAAAATCTTTATAAATAAAAAAGTTAAATAACATAAGTTACACGATTGCTGAAAATCGCTATGCACAAAGTAAATGAATGTTTTTTTTTTTAATTTTTGAATGCAAAAAAAAATTAAATGGAAAACAAGCCTATCGAATTTTTCTTATTTAAACATCTTGTAAAAGATCCGAACTTCATAATAAAAAAAGTTTCAATATCTAAAGTGGTTCTTGAGTTATGGCGTGTTATGTGTTAAAAAGTTGAGTTTTTAAATTATCGCGATTACCGACGTTTTCTCGTTATAAAAAAATGGACACCCTAACGATGTTCTTGTAATTCCATTTCTGATGCTCAGAAACATACCTAATGATTTTATCTAGTTATCTTTTCGAAAAAAAGTCTTTTAAAAATAAGCGGTTTACGATCGTGATTTTACTTACTTGATAGGGAAAGGCGTACCGGAGAAATGTGGCAACGCCGCAACAGCACACCGTCACATTTCTCTCACTCCGACTTAATAAGATCCCTATGCGATTTTCTTCCACACATGTAAATACCGACCCAAAAGTAAGAGTTGCCAGCACGGTATAAAGTGTCATCGATGGTCATTTCTGAGCCTATTATGATGCCGTTTTTTTTTGATCAAATGGCATTATTGCATTTTCTTACATTTATAATAAAAAATAATATATTTAAGGATTAGAATAATGAAAGAGGACATAACTTTGCAAGGTATATACTGAAGATAAATACAATACTGTTATTATAATTATAGAATATTATGCTTTTAGATAAGAATTTTATGTTGAATATTGACCCATCCTGTATGAAATAATAAAACTCTATATATAAAAAATAACGCCGTTTTTGAGATTAAAAGTCTCAATTTTTTTCATAATGATTTCGCAACCATAATTATTGTAAAATATTAGATTATCATTTAATTACATTTAACATTTCTTAAAAGTTTAATTAGTCTAAACAATTGAAATTTATCTTATCACAAAATGCCTCGTGCACTCTCCTTTAAAATAAATAATTCAGAAATAATGTTCGAAAAAAAAACGTTAGCGGTGGCTTTGCAATGCAGATCGCAGCCATTTTATATGTAAAATTATATGGGCGTGTCATCGATCGTCATTTCCAAGCCAACTGGACGCAGTTTTTTTCGATCATACGCTTTGGGTGCCTACTTCCGGATGTATGAAGAGTACTCCATAAACATCTAACGTGCCATGGCCGTGAATCACTCTGCATATTGTTGGTTAAATGGTATTGATGGTCCCATATTCTTATATCTTATAAAAAGATCTAAGAACACTACTTACCATAATAGGTTGACTAGCACTTGGGGTGTTTCTGAATACTTCATCCTCATCATCAGTCTCTGGTGGAGGTGGTCTCATTGGGGCCCCTTCGTGTGGTAAGGGAGGCCTAGGTGGCGCTTGTTCTGTATTAAGAAAGAAATTACGTTTCAGTTAAGGTTATTCAACTTGTTTCAGGTTTCAAAATGCACAATTACTTTCCAAAAACACACAAAACATACCGTCTTCTAAAATATACTCGGGAATAAAGCTGCAAAACCCTATGACAGCATGAAATAACAAACGTCAATGTTAGTAACAAGTCATGTTATTTTAAACATCACAAAACATCCCCCTTTAGAACTTTTTCTTTAATAGTCATAAACTAAAAGTGGAAGTTTTATTGCAATGTAAGTAAGCGTTTGTCCATTTTATATTTTACTTTTTTCATACCTATGACAAATATACATATATTGAAATTTTATAATTCGTTTTATGTTATGTAATATATTCCATTTAAATGTAATATATTACTTTGCAATTAAAAAAATGTAAATTTAAAAAATATATTAAAAATATATACACGCATTAATTGAAATTTTTAGTGTGCGAATAAACACGAGAGGCGCTTTATTATTTACTTTCATTTCTTAACATGACAGACGAAGTTCTAAAGGGTGATGTTTTGTGATCAACATTACCGAAAAAGCAATAGCAGAAGCTAACTAAAATAGTGAAGCTAAATTTCGGTTTAAACCATCTTAAATCTTATAAACCAATACTTAAGTAACTTCAAGTAAATTCTTGTTCTTGACAAGTAAATTCACTTTATTGAAAAAAAAATCAAATAAATATGAAGAATATCTTGTTAAAAACTGGTCAATGGTCCATATTTTTATGAGATTTGTCACCGATGCTAAAATCCACTATAATTTGGCTCAAATATTTGCCACAAAGAGAAGGATAGTGAAAGATAGGTTAATAACACACGGCATAGCTTTATCCACGAAGTTTATAAGTTCTAAGCTGGTATAAATATTCATTTGTCTATAAAATGCCTGCAGTATTAAAATGCTATGTATATACAGACGTTACCATAAGTAACCCAAAAACAGTATTCTGTCAATTTTGTCATACCAATCACCACTGTAAAGCCACCAATCCTGAAATCCAGCACAATATGGTTTGTCACTGACCAATGAGACATTCAATACACAAATGATGTATATCATGCCAATCGCCTGTCATGCCAGGACTGTCTAAAAATTTAATGCAATCATTTCATATAGAAAAATAGTTGAGTGTGAGTCTATATAGTTCTATCATACAAATAGATGGTTTTCTTTTTATACTCTTTGAATAGTGTAGTATATTTGAAATCTTTTTTTTTAAAACTTTTTTTTTAAAACCGGAGATGTACAGACTGGCTCAATATTCCGTGGATATAGAATTACTACGTATTTTTAGAATTTTTGGTTCGAAAAATATGTCAGTAATTCTCTGTCCACAGAATATTGGGACACCCTGTCTATATGATATCGCGAACGATTTAAGAAAAGCAGAGATGCAAAATTCACTAAAATAATGAAACAAAAAATGCATTCAATGTGCCCTTGAGTCATCCCTCAAAATTACCTGAATAAAAATTACTAGAAGAAACCAGTTCATCGCAAAGGAGATCAGAATTATCCCCTAGAACGTATAAAAATTCAACAAAAAAAATATTTAAAAACTCCAAAAATTGTACTGTTGAAAAAAACGGCGTCAGAGATGGCTTTGAAACGAATATCGCTGTGATTTTATATGTTAAATTATATGGAGGACAATCGATCGTCACGTCGTTTGAAATTCGAAACCTTGACGCCGTTTTTTATTGATCATACGGTATTATACCTCTAGCCCATTTAGGTAACGGACTGACAGGACGCCCATAATGCTGTGGACTATACTGACCACCAAAAAATTCAGAGCCTGGTGTTGGTGTGTCTCTTAGCGGTGCGCCAACTAACATTGTAAGTTAATAACGAAGTTTATTCTTAGCATACACGGTGTTCAAAAATGCACAAATAATATTTAATATATAATTTAACTGTGCTTTTTTCGGACACCCTGTATAACAATTGACTTTGCAATACGGAGCTAAAATAATCTAATATTTATGATAAAAATAACTAACATAAAGTATAGAATGTTCAGCCATCGTTCAAAGTGACGTCATACATTCAACAGTCCAAAGGATTGGAATTAAAGGGATCGTAACTGATAAAGAGTTCAAGAAAAAATTAATAAATGCCGAAAAAAAAACGGAACTCGCTCAATCAACAATAAAGGAACGTACTTAAAATTTTCTAAACAATATGAACTGATCTCAGACACTCCCTAAAACTCATATTTGACAAATAATGATGACGTAACGTTGAACAATGGCTGAACAGTCTTTTTTAACATTTCTGCAGTCAATGATGAAGAAAAAATCAGTTATTGCAAAGTAAATTACTGTGTTGTAAATGTTGTATACCGGGTGTTTTTCAAAAGTAAAAAAAAATAATTGAAAAAAAAACTGAAATTGAAAAAATAAAAAACTTACAAGTGGTTTTGAAGAACACCCGGTATATGTAGAAGGTTTAATATTGTTAAATTATAACACCAAAGCTAGATTTAGTCTACAAAATGCAAATAAATAGAGCACATTAAACAAATAAAAAGAAGATATTATACGCTTACAGATAGAAATAGGAAAAAAAGTTTTGTTTTTATAATTTAATTCGACATTTAACAATTCATAATTATTTTTTCCCATTTTCTTTATTAAACGTATTAAGCAAACCCAAAATACCTTTCTCTACAAAGTATTGCTTTCTTGGGGGTTCTGAAAAATATTACATTGTATTAGAATAAGCAGTTATAATTTTTAAGTAGTAAGTAATAAAGAAAATAAATAATAAAGCAATAATACAGATATCACCCTAGCGTTACAGATGTATTATACTATTGAAAAAAAAACGCGTCACAGATTCTGATAAATAAAATAAATTTAAAAAAATCTCAATATTAACAATAAAATTACTTTGAAGAGATATAAAAAAATATACTAATAAATAATATTTTCTTGCCTTTAGCTGTGTATTTTTTCTAATTTCGAAAAATCGAAAGTAGAGAAAAAATAAAAAAATAAAAAGTAAAAAGAAAATTGTTTTGCTTGTCGTAAAGGGGGGAACCAAGCCCCACTCCCACAACCGGTTTCTGGGCCTACCCTTCATCAGGTGGGCTGTCCAGGGGTTGGTTCTCACCGATACGGCAAGCAAAACTCCTTCTATATCAACAGACGATGTCGTAAAGTATCGGTGAGATATTAGTGCATCTCCCGTCAAAAGATGGCACTAATATCTCACCGACATTTTACATACACTATATATGTATGTCATACCAATTAAACTTCTAGTCGCGTGATTAAGCTTGACCGGTACAGCGTTGCCCACTTTTACATATTTTCTTTTAATCAAAATATTTTATATAAACAGTTATTATTTACATCAACAAAACTCACCTCCTTAACAGCACTTAAGAGACATAAAGGGCTATTCCTACCGCTTTCCCGTTTAAAATATTCTAATAAGGTTGTGATGGTTTTTTTTGTAATGGCTATTAAGCTATCTTGTACACTTCGCACTAAAAGAGGTTCTAAAAAGAACAATGTTCGACTGCCACGTCTGCTAGTAAAAATTCTTAAGCCTAAAGTATCACAACACAATTAGATTAAACCAAAAACTCGCAATACGAAACTAAAATAAATAAATAAAGAGCGTATAAATTTTAATTCCAGTTAGTCTGCCCGACACCGAATATGTCCATGGTTGGCAACAATGAATTTAAAAATCTCGCCCTCGATTACGTAACTAAAAGTTTAATTGGTATCGCTTATATGTCCAGAAATAGTATCTGTTTATAACCTAATATTTACCTAAATTCAGGGTATTGATGTCAGGCAAGGGAGGCAATTCAGGATTGACTTGCACAGCACCTCTAACTTGACCCACTGCGTTCAGTAGCTGTATTAGTTAAAAATAATTAGAAATTAATTTTGCTGATTATAATAGAAATTTAAATTTTGACTGCATCAACAGAGGTTATACCCCACTGCACACTGCATATAATATAAAAAAAATAGATAACATATCAATCATAACTCTCTTTGAGTAATAATCACTATAAACTCGATTACTCACGGCTTTATTAGACTCACGCCATCTTGAGACAGCATTGTGATCAGCGGGATTCACTGCAACAGCTTTAGCATCTTGTACCATTGGAGGGACACCTTAGGGAATAAAAATATATGAATATAATTTAATCAACTCACATTTTACATGGCAATAAATAATACAGTAAAAAAAAACGGCGTCATAGGAAATGAAGATCGCTATCACTTTACAACGAGGAAGGCAATCAAAGCCCAAGAGTTTTCTTTACAAAGTGAATAGATCGTAATTTGCAAGCCAACTTGACGTCGTTTTTTTGTCGATCATATCATTAATACTTACTGTTTTGCAAGGCATCAGATGCCCTATTAACTGCATCAATAAACGTTGGATCTTCAGAATTGTCGCTTTCTTGTTTAGCAACCAAAAGGACCCTATTTGCTAGACGGGCAATGGCTGACGTGTTATCCACCATTTTTTGTGGTTGCCTATTTTTAATCGCTTCCTCGCACAAGAACGTGTGTTTCTTCATTTGTTCCTCTGTATATAAGGTAATATTAATATTATTTTATAAAATATTTAAAAAATGAATTATTCATATAATACTCCTATAAGGGTACGTCCATAGTGCACCAGCTTTATCGCGGCAGACTAGCGGTGAAAAATAGATCTCAACGCATGTATACGCAAGATTATAAATTCACTGTGAGAGAAGCCTTATAGGAGTATGTATTATACTTATACGGAATTATCAGTAGGTAATAAAAGAATACCTGAGGCTTTGATAAAGTCAGCACTGTCAGTTGCTTCGTCGCAGAGATTTCTCATTTTTGTGACTGTATCAGCATATTGTTGTCTCAAATTTTCAAAATGTTCATCGGCAGCTTTAGAAGTGGGATAATTCATACGAATCGAACCAGCCGATATTAACTGAGGTGTCAAACTTTCAACTTGTTGTGCCACGCTAGATAGTGCTTCAGCTAGTTTCTTATTGCCTCCACTTCCACCTAGAATAATGTATATTATACCGAGTGTTTTTCAAAAGTGGGTCACCCCTATGACTTTTTTATTTTTTCAGATAACAAGAGATTTGGTATGTTAGTATAGAACAAAAATTAGGATTGATTAAAGCATTTATATTATAAAAACTCTTGTCAATATGTACAAAGAGCTAAAGCAAGAGTAATGACGAGTTAAAGCAATAGTAATCATGTTGATAATAATTAATTTGAAATCTTCAAGATAAAAGTTAGTTAGTTTTACCTGCAGCTACCATTCGGGCTGTTTTGACAGCTCTGTTGCTAAAATTTTGAAGATTTGCAGCCTTGTCTGAGAAATTTTGGTCTCTTCCCGGCGTGCCCTCTGGTGCTAAAACGGCTTCAGTAAATTGTTTGAGGGGAGTGACGATGTCTATAAAATCTTCCACAACCCTGTTTGTAACAGCCTGACTAATTTTTTCTTTTAGTTCATGAAGTTTCTGAGATAATCTAAAATATAAAACAAAAAAAATATATTAAAAAGTACAGGGTGTTTTATAGGGAGTTTCTCGTTTGTGATTAGAGCTACAAAGATGCGGTTTTCACATCAGTATGATACTTTTTTATGAAACTAACAATGCTACACACAGATTTGTCTTAGCCCTTTTAGTCCCTAAAATACAGGGAAAAATTAAAATTGTTGCATTTTTCGTTGGTTTCTCCGTAAAAAAACTCTATGAGACACAGTTCTTACCTTTTCGATAAGTTATAAGGTAACCGAGATACAAAAGACGTCGAAAAATTAAAAAGAAATAAATAAAATTTGCTCTGTATTTCAGAAGAGTAAAGAAAAAGTAGCAAAAGTGATGTGAAAATCGCATCTTTGTATCTCTACTCCTAAAACTTCTTGTTATCAGACCCTACCAACTCGACTGCGCCAATTATAAGAATTTGATGTTCACATTGAGATAACAGACTGACAGCTGATATATTATAAAAAATATTAAAAATGTAATTTTTTAAATGTTATATTGACAAATATGTTGTATTGAATTGAGGGCTGCCAGAAATTGAAAAAGGGCTGTCGTTGACCTAGAATCGTATTTTTTCTAAAATGTATAATAGTTAGTGATTCTTACTTTCTGGCAATTTCCTGAGCCTGGGGAGTGTTTCCTTTTCCTTGGGCACACAAATCCGCCAACTGTCGGGAAAGTCCATCGACTTCATCACAAAGTTGAAGAATTTCAGCTTTTTGCACACCTGGAAGACCCTCCGCGACCTATATAATTTTTCTTACTATATACACTGTGTTCCGTGTAAAAATGCACACTACAGGATCTCTGTATCTCTTCTGGTTTACGAGATCCCTGTATATAGGACACTGTATATTAATTCAAAATAGTCATATATTACCTTGCGCCCTTCTTCAAGAATGGCATTTATAGCCCTTTGTCCTAAACCTTTGTCATCTTGACCGGGATTAGACAGCCATTTTCTAGCTTGCTCCAACCTATATAACACGTCAAATTTTTATATTAATTATAAAAATATATATTATATTAATATAAGCACAACACATACCTTCCCTGTATAGTATGAGCTGTCTGTTGCAAACCAGCCTTATCCACATTGATAATGGCATTATTCACTGCATGCTGAAGTTCTCCCAATTTTTCTCTAATACCTACAGGAAAATACAAGTTATATTTAATGTTAGTAAATATCAATAAAAATATGCATCAATAAAAACTTCCAAACAACCCCTATCTGTAAGATTACAGGCACTTTTTTCAATTTTTTTTTATGAGGAATCGTGCATTTATATATACAACACCCTGTATATGTACATTTACATACCTCTAGCTAGTGATTCAGCCTGAGGAGTTGCACCTTTTCCATCTTGACGAAGTTCACACAAAGCATCGGTCATAGTGGTCAAGTCAGAACAAATTTTGTTGATATTATGACGATCTTGCGGTAAACATCTAAAGAAATAATATATTAGCAGAGAGAATATACCCCGTCGGCAACATAAGAGTCTTGGGTCCGTTTTTAAATGTCTAGGTGTAGAGAAAATGACAATTGTTTATTACATAAGCACTTAATCTGATGCTTTATTTCATGGGCTTGGGAAAATACCATTTGATAAAAAAACGGTGTCCAGTTGGCTGGGAAATGACGATCGATGACATTCCCCATATAATTTTACATACAAAATGACAGCTATCTTTGTTTTAAAGCCATCGCTGACGTCATTTTATTTCGATCATACTGTATACTAGCTCTTCTCTCTTTGTTTAGTACATCTTATTGTACTGAACGCATATGTACTGTACTCTTTGTACCCACGAAAATCGGCACCCTAAGCCAAATGTTGCCGACTGTGTATATTTTTTTATTCACTTACCTTTCTGCAACTTTTTGCGCATCTTCAATTATTTGGCGAAGTGATTTTTCACCTACGCCTCCCCTGACAGCTGTGGGATCCTAAAAAATTAAATATTCGTTATACAGGGTGACCCAAAATGCGCCGAAAAAGTTGCTGTGAGGCTTCTCTCGATAGAAAGACTTTAAGAACAGAAATACATAATTCTATAATTCTAATACTTACTAGTAACCAATCGTTAGCAGCGTTTAATTTATTTTGAATGGCATTCTGCAGTTTCTTCAGCACTGTTAGATTGTCCAGTTCACTTTGCTCCTCATCGTAACTGGTTAACTGTAGGACCCTGTTAAATAATTACATAGTATTTCATTATAAAATTACGTTATTTTACCGTCAAGAATGATATAAATCCAATAAAAATAATTCAATATAAATGATTAAAATAAAAGGCAAACAAATTTTGTTTTCATATGGATAGCATAATTTTTTTTCTTTATTCCAGACATAGAAGATAATAAGACTCAAAGCCCTTAGACTGAATGATGAGTTATAACTCAAGAAAGGAGAACACAATCAATCTGTAAGATGGCAGTGATTAACCCCGTTCCCATACATTCTATATTTTATTAATTAAAAGCAGACCACAGATTCAGAGTAACCATACTTTATTTTAACTCGAAATAATGGTTTCAGCTTTAAATTTTATAAAAATCTGAATGAATGGACAGAGTTTATTTCCCAATATATTTTTAATTTAATTATAATCACTCTGGGGAAAAATATCTAAATTCTTAAAAAATACAACTAAAAGGTTAACAACTTACGCTTGATATCTACAGAATATTTATTAGCATTAAATAAAATAAAAATAAAATTGAACTTTTGAAATTGATTTGTTCCACAAGGTGTGTTATTAATACATTATATATTAATTTTACCTGATAATTTCATTTATTTCATCTGTCATCCTTTTTGCTAGATAATTTCGATTTTCTGCAGCTTCTTCTGCGCCTTTTCCTCCCTGGGATACGATATGAATGTAAATTTTCATAGAACAAATCAGAATAGGCGCCAATGTTTTTACTTGTTCCAAACATCGTACTAAAATTTCAGAATGAACCTAATAAAGAAGAGAAAATACATAGATATTACAAAATTAGTAACAAATAAAAAAATATACCAGAAGAAATTAAAACTGTAAAAGCAATAATTTAAGTAATTTTTATTATTGTTTGTGATATTATAAACACCCTAAAGAATTTTTAAGCAATTTGTAGCTGAATTATTTGACTTTTTGTCCCCATCTGAGCCAAACAACCCTGACCAAAAACAAAGGCATGCTTTTAAGAGTCTATTACGCTGTACTGTTCGGGTCGCTCTTAGGGTAAAGCGGGCGTATGGCCGAAGGAAATATTTTAAAAAATTATATTTCAGAAATCTGCCTAAGTGCACGGCCACACAGAAAGCGTTTTTTGCGTTTTTAGCGTGAAGCCTCTTTTGCGTCTAAAACAAAATAACAGGATTATATAGGAGTGGCCCCACCAAAAGCGTCTAGCGTTCGGCGTGTCTCGCAAAAAACGCAAATGAAAACAAATCAATTTGTTTTCTGTACCGTCTTTAGCGTTTTCTATGAGACCCTGTCATAGGCGGACGTAATATTTAATAATACAATAAAAAATAAATTAAATAGTATGCATTTTTTTTCCAGTATTAACTAAAAATATTTTTATAGAGAACATATACTGTTTAGGAAGAATCTATTAAATTCAAAAATTTGGAGGAGATGTTTGAAAAAGTGTAGTTTGAAATGTTGAAGAAGTAATAAATTACAGGAATATTTTTTTACGCGTAAAAAAATATTTTTTATGCGTAAAATGCTTTTTTACGCGTAACAAATAGTTCTTTACGCGTAACAAATAGTTTTTTACGGGTAACAGATAGTTTTATACGTGGAAAAAATAGTTTTCTAGGTGCGAAAAATAGATTTTTATGTATAAATTTTTTTTTGTGTAAAAATATTTTTTTACCGGTAGCGAGTAGTGTTTTACGAGTAGAAAATATTTTTTTTACGTGTAACAAATAGTTTTTTACACGTAAAAAATATTTTTTTAACGTAAAAATAGTTTTTTTTATCAGAAACAATAAGTTTTTGACGCGTAAAATATAGTTTTTTACGTGTAACAAATAGTGTTTTACATGTAAATTTTTTTTTTGTGCAAAAATGGTTTTCTACCAGTAACAAATAATTTTATACGCGTAAAAAATAGTTTTTTACGGGCAACAAATAGTTCTTTTCGCGTAACAAAATTTTTTTACGTATAACAAATAGTTTTTTTACACTTAAAAAATAGTTTTTTACGTGTGACAAATAGTTTTATACGCGTAAATTAAAAAAATAATAAAAATTGTTTTAATTTTTAACGTGTAATAAAATTAATTTCTTAATAATATTAATAGTTTTTTACGTGTAACAAATAGTTTTTACACATACTAATTTGATTTACGTTTTCAAAATTTGTATTAAAATATCAATATTTTTGATAAGCACGTGGACTACTCACAAATACACGTCGCGTCACTACGTATTTCTAAGCCGTTACCACTTTTCGTTAGCACTAGATCGTGTGTCACGGCTCTGAAATTTTACTCCCAGGGCGCGTAAAGAAGTGTCACTTCAAAAAAGTTTCATAAATCATGTCTTAAAATTGCGTTAGCAACTAGTAATACTTACTAGCGTATTATACAATTGTAATTATTTATTATATCATATTATTATATTATAATTAAACACACAAGTAACCACAAAACTACGACATAAAAAATATATACATTACAAATCGTAAAAGAAATGGCAAATAATTATTTTTACACACGCCACTGGCACGAATACGAATCTGCGCTCCGGCCCGTTCAACAGTCGATCCCAGTGCGAGAATATCTTTTTTCTTTGTCTCCTCAACGCTAACCGCGCCGATCTCGGCTATCTCTTTCTCACAGGATTGACTGTTGGACGGGCCGGGGATCGACGCGCTTTCGATGTTACTAATTGACATCTTGATAGAAACTGCAGACCTTTCGCGTTTTTTGCGTGTTTTTAATGGACACAAATCGAAAAAAGCGCTTAAAACGGTAAAATCGCAAAAAGCGCTTGAGACGCAAAAAACGCAAAACGCTAAAAACGCTTTCTGTGTGGCCGTGGGCTAAGGCTTAGCCCAATCCTGTCATGTTAAGCCACATCCAATAAACATACGTGCTTTGATTAAGGCTTGCTTAAGGTTTGCAGAGCTTCAGCATTTGCCATAAAATAGCGAGCAATTTGTTACAAAACCATATAAATTATATATCACTCTAATCAAAAAACTTCAATCTATCTCCGTATTGTAAGGGAATTTTAAATTATGTCTTTATTTTCGAGAAAATTTAGTCCAAACATAAGAAATATTTTGTTGACGTTTAACCATCAAAATCTTAAAAATAAAGAAGTTGTCTAAAAATGTGCTACAATACGGATATAGTATAATCCTTTATCTTTAACTTCCTTCTTAATTTATGTAAAATTACCAGTTTTACATAAAACGTTAAATGCCGAACGTTTATTTTGCTATTTTTTCGGACGAGTGAAATGGACTCTTAAACTAAAATTGTTATTTCTTCAGAAGCAAACATCTCCAATAAAAATCAAGCTATTGAGATGAATTAAGAAACAAACAATTAAGAAAAGATGCGCCATGAGGATAAAGTGGTTTTAAAATTCCTTACTTTGGAAAACCATTCCATAGGGTGTGTTAAACTTTCACCAAAATAACATTTTGTTTTCCCTCATGTAATAGACATATGTGGACTTTTTAATTTAAAAAAGGGGGCTAAAAAGTCAAATAATTTAACTACAAATTGCTTAAAAATTCATCAAAATCGGCCCATTAAAACAACATATTATATGAAACATTAAATACACGAAAATTCCATAAAGTGTCCGTTTTTTGTGCCGGCTATAAGAATAACAAAATTCATACTTAACAAACAACAATAACAATTATTCGTGAATCACACAAATTTAAAAATAGCAAATTGTAACGATCGTTTTCTTCCAAACTTTAGTACCCATATAAATTTTAATGGCAGTACTAGGTATATCTAAATATATCTTCAAAAATTCGGTACCGATCGACATTTTGAAGTGAAATTTACTTTGTTTTAAAAGCGTAAGTCTACAGGGGTTTCAAAAAACATGTGCCATCTCTCGTTGGGAGATTGGGACCATATTAACATAGGTCCGATTCTGCTTTGTTTCGTAGCTACAGGCTACAACCCCCTGTAGCCAAACCAAAATCTTAATCTTTTTTCGATTTATTATAATTTTGTTCCAAGTGCTTTTAGCGATTCTAATGAAATTTTGAGGGTAAAAGTTACTATAAGAGTAACATCTTTTAGTGCTAAACAAGTGTTGACAGATTCACCAGGGACGTGCACATGGGTTATCTATCACTGGAATATTTTTCTAAAAAAAATATACGCGCCACTGACTTTTTTTTCTTTTGTTGGCAAAATTGTGTAGACCTTTGAATAAGAAGACTAAGGAAGGAGCATATCAAAAATCTTAGGTACACCGCGATGGGCCTCAAATATGGCCGACTTAAATTCCGGTTTATCAGTGTCGTTCTAATTTTATTTAAAAAATGTAAAACTATGATGTAGGGTAGACGTGGGGTAGACTCAATAATTTGTTGTTTTATTTTACGTTGTGAATAAATGTTGGTAGTTATTAAAATTGTTATAATAATATATAATTCTAATAAAAATAGATAAGTTATAATAAGTATTTATTAACACAAACATCCGATACGCTACTGAAGCAGGTAAGTCAAATTAACGTATCTAAATTCTTTGACATCTAATCTTTGACAAGTAATAAATAACAGCTAAAATGCAAGAAAAATATATAATTTAGTTAATTTAAGTGAATTTCATAAATGATCGGTTTACTACACGTATGTATATTATATAGTCACTTACTAGCGAAAAGTTGTTCCATTATTTCACTCAATTTTTGCCGAGATCTACCGCACGCTACACAACCAACTATTTTAGAGTCTTTTTCGATAAATCGCGATAGTGTCACTATTAATTTAAGTTCTGCCACAATTTCCATCTAGATTTACTACCTTTATACAACTATCAGTAGTAGAATAAACAATAAATAACATAAAATAAGCTCCGTAAAGACTGACAAATCCACAAAATTTCAAATCAAATTCAAATGTGTCAAATGAATCGTCAAACGAAACTGTCAAGGATCCCCACCCTAGAGAGCTTTTTCCGCCCACCATGCATGAATACATGGATAGCATTATGCTCCTTCCTTAGTCTTCTTATTCAAAGATAGATTAGTATAGACTAGTCGTCTGGTCTTCAAAGTGGTCCAAGTTGTTATTATTTTTTGTAAATCTAAGTTGATGGCAATATCCGCTTCACATTAGTGCAGCGGCAATTTTTTTTTTATTTTTGACAAATTTGGGATTTAGACGTCGCGTTGCCATGACTAATTTCCCAACTCAATTATACATTGGGGGGGGGGAGCATCCCCCCATCACCCCCATAGCTTCACCACTGATTCCTCATTAAAAAATATACAAAAAGTTCCTATAAACATGTAGCACTCATACTAACTGCTATCCTCCAAATTTCATTCGAATCGCTAAAAGCACTTGGAACAAAATTACAATAAATCTTAAAAATATGAAGATTTCAACTTCCTGTAGCTACGAAACAAAGCAGAATCGGATCCATGTTGATATAAACGATTCTCCCGTTGATGGAACGCATTTCCTCTACTGCGCATAAGCGTAACCGTACCAAGAACTGTTCTCTGCTATGTTGGAACAAACCTAATATAAATAATATATTATTAAATGTAAAAAATACCTGATGTGTTAGTTCTTTTTCTCTTGCGCTAACTTCTCGTGACACTCGGCTTAAACAAGGGCTGAGGTCCCGTAAAAACTGTACCAATTCATCCAAGGTTTCGATCACTTCAGCCACAGCTAAATAATCAAGCACCCTGTGACATTCCCTTATAATCTTGCGCACTTCTGATTGGTCGAAGCACAGCAATAAGTCAGACGTAGCCTAAAAAAATAAAACAACTAATAAAGTACCTACAGGGTGTCTCATTTTCGTGTATTTTGCATGGTTTCTCATTTATGAGTATAGATATAAAGATGTGGCTTTCACATCACTGTTCTACTTTTTAATGAAACTAAAGATACTGCACACAGATTTGTCCTCGCCTTTTTAGTTTCTGAATTACAGGAGAAAATTTTAGATTTTTGACACCCCTCGTATCTCGGTTATCTTATAACTTCGAAAGGTGAAAACAGAGTTCCGTAGAGCTTTTCACGTAGAATCCAGTGGCGTAACTAGATTTTTGCTGGGAGTTGTCATTTTCGAAATATGACTAAAATTTATGTTTTTTAAATAGGACACCCTGTATATTATTCATTTTTTTTATTTACCTTATTATGAGATTCCTGAAAATATAATATACTCTATACTTATTTTAATAAATAAGGTAAAAAATGCGTTATTTAACTTTTTAACAAATAAACCTAGTTTAAAATTATTTTTTAATTTTTTTAATTTTTTATTTAATTTAATTTAACCAGATAATTTTGCTTTTCAGTGTGTTATCTTAATAAACTGCACTGAAAATAAACTTGACTGACAACCAGAGTTATTGATATTTTTGATGCACTTATGCAATAATTTCACACAGAGAAACTAGCGTGGAATAGCCAATAACCAAAATTTGACGTCAATAATGCCTTTGCCTGTTTTACCACAGGTTTTACCTTGTTTATGAAAATAAGTACAGAGTATGTTATATTTTTAGAAAGCTCATAACAAGGCAAATAAAATAAAAATATAATATACAGGGTGGTCCGAACTATATTCCGGAAACTTCGGCAGCATATTCTGAAGATAAAAATAAGTAAAAAAGTTCGTATAAATGTATGTCCTAAAATGCTTAGTTTCGGAGATACAGGGTGTAGAAATTTCATTTTTATTTCGTTTTTTTCAAATAATTTCTGAAGTAACGTCAATATTTGGATGAAAATTGATGTTTGGGAGTTTTTTGAGATGAGAAATTTGATTTAGTTGTTAATATGACTCCTATTTGTAGGAGGCGCCACCTACATGTGCTTTAACTGTTTTGCAGAGTAATAACTTTTCGTCCGTACCTGTATAAAACTTCCGAGTAAAAAAATATACATTTCCGTGACTTTTTACGTAAAAAATATCTCTTCGTAAAAATCTCTATGAGCAACCGTTCTCAAAATTTTTTTTAGAATGAAAATAGTCAATACATGTTATTATTGACAAAAAATAAACAGGCCGAGTAGATAGTAATTAGACTGAAATAATAAACTTTGGGATTTTTTTTTTCAAATTAATCATAAATTTTTCTGGGAAAAAATGATGATAAAACAGTTTCTGTTGAACTTTTGGCACAAAAACATTTCAAATTTATGATTCCAGTCTAATAACTATTTAGTCAACATGTTTAATTTATGTCAATGATGACAGGTATTGATAATTTCGATTCCAAATATCTCGAGAACCACTACTCGTAGCGATTTTTACAAAGAGACGTTTTTTACTTAAAAAACCTAGCAAATGTATATTTTTTACTCAGTAGTTTTATACAGGTACGGACGAAAGTTATTATTACTCTTCAAAACAGGTAAAAAATATATAGGTAGCACCCTCTACAAGTAGGAGTCATATTGACATCAAAATCAAATTTCTCATGTGAAAAAACTTCCAGACACCAATTTTCATCCAAATATTGACGTTACTTCATAAATTATTTGCAAAAAAAACGAAATAAAAATGAAACTTCTACACCCTGTATCTCCGAAATTAAGCATTTTAGGACATACATTAATACGAACTTTTATCTATCTGCTACTTATATTTATCTGCAAAATACGCTGCCGATATTTCCGGAATACAGTTCGAACCACCCTGTACAGGGTATCCCATTTAAAAAAAAACATAAATTTGGGTCATATTTCAAGAATTACATCTCGCAGCAAAAATCTAGTTATGCCACTGAGTTCTACGTGAAAAAGTCTATACAGGGTGTCCCAGAAAAAAGTGCAAGTATTTTAAGGGGTTGTAAATCTCGATAAAAGAAACATATTTTCTTTTTATCGTTTTTCAAATAAGTCCAAAATAACGGAGTAAATAATTAAAAATTTCCAAAAAAATGATTTTTGGTTTGATAGTGTAATTATGGATTTTAACTAAAAATTTAAAAATTTTCAAAAAATTTCGGTATTCTTCATAATTTGTTTTCGCGAAAAAAACCTCATAGACGTGTTTCTGGGGTTGAACTATACTACCAAGTAAAATACTTGCACTTATTTCTGGGACACCCTGTATACGGGATACGGGACTCATATACCCACTGTAAGCAAATACCCCCACTGATTGTACACAAACATGCTAAATTACCCTCATTTAGGGTAATTACCCGCAAATTGGCAACACTGCTTGATATAGAGTAAAGAAATATACCTTCAAAATGCCACCACTGCCATCTATGAGAAGTTTCCTGGCTGGAGCGGAATATGGATCGTCTTTTAGCCTGGCACTGGCTTCTTCCAGCAATTTTGACGATCTCTCCACTTTAACCAAGGCTCCTGGCATGTCCTGACGCAAAATCGGATCATCTGAGCTGTTGATGGTGTCCCTGCCTACTTTGACCAAGTTGAACACAGCATTGCTGACGCTACGAACTGGCTGTTCCAAATCGGGCATAGGAATTCCATCTTCGGCTTCCTCATGTAGGATAACCAATTTTGAAACCTATAGATGTTTGGAGATAGAGTTATTAATTAGTTTAAAATTATTTTTCTTTATACCGGGTGCGTTTCAAAAGTGGCTCATTCCTATAACTTTTTTATTTTTTCTGATAAAAAAAAACGAGATTTGGTATGTCAGTATATGACATAAATTCGGATTTATCAAAGATATTTAAACTCAAGAGATACAATTGTTTACTTTTTTCCTTCATCGGCCATTATTCTATCCTTATTTTCGCATCTCTATTACACCGAAAACATTTGCCAGATTTACCTGTATATTGGTATTAGTATTCGATTAAATACCACAACCAATTATTAAGTAATAAATAATTTCGTTAGATTTCTATAATATATCAAGTACATTAATTTGGTAACGTCAATTTTTTCATTTAATGCTTAACTGCTTAACTATTTTAAATTTTATAATGGAATAAAAATATCATGTGTTTCTTTTAATAATAAAAAGCAGTTTGGCAACGTCAGTTTTAGATTTCGAAGATGAATGAAAATTCCTAGATTCTCCTGTTGCGATGTTGCTATGCCGCCGATCAAGCTCCGTATTCTTTATTTGCAGTATTATAGTATTTTTGCGTTATTTTGTGGACTTCTGTGGACATTAATTTGAAAATATGATGCATTCATGTATTATGTACAAGAGAGTGTATCATTTAAATCCAAATTTAACTTTTCACCGGTAAATAAAAATAAGTAGGGTTAGGGATATTATTATATCCTCTTCTCTGTAGATCAGAGGCGGACCTAGACATAAAAAATAGCAGATTTCTAAATTATATTTATTTTTAAGTTTATTTTTTAAATTGTATATTTATTAATTTATTATGTTTTTTAAATTATATATATATATTAATTAAATTATTTATAGAAAAAGGTACATGTGTATGTGGTATATATACTAATTACTAATAACTATATATAACATATATATATTTCCCTTTATATAGAAATATATATTGAATATAGTATATATCTATATACCCATATGGGTTTGACAAATCATTACCTACCTTTGGTGAAAAGCTTTTATTTAATAAAATAAAGTAAAAATATATATATATTTATATATATATATATATATATATATATATATATATGCTATATATATATATATATATATATATATTACTTCATAAATTTTTCTTTAATCGTTATTCTTTTGTGAAAAGCCATCTTATAATAAAAAATTATGCCGGTTTTTATTTATTTCGCTATCCTCCCTCAACTTATTTTTTTCCTATTAATGTCCTCCTTCAACTTTTTACAATGCGACAAATATGTAAGTGTTATTATTATTTTTTTAAATGTATTAAACAATTATTTTAATTTCCTTAAAATACTGTCGGTCGATCGGCACGCCACTGGAAATTGACCTCAACCGTCTAATCTTTGTAAACAACTACATTTTGCCGTTGCGCGGATACCCTATTCCCTTCTTTGTCCATTCTCCCTCGCACTCGTTGATTTTCGCAAACCAATGTGTGATGAAGGTTTAGAGCGTTTTATGAATGGATTGTTGTATTTCCCGAGTTTAAATGTCTTTGGGATTTATTGACGTATTCAATTTTTTTTTGTCACTTTCTGTTTTACCGGAAATGACTGTAACTTTTGATTTTTAAATGGCGCCCTCGGTATATTTTTATTTTATTCGATAAAAAATGACACTCTGAATAGAATGACATAGCATAGGTCAACTTTTGACATTTTCGCTTAAAAAACGTATTTTAAATTTCAATCTAGAGTGCCATGGTGACATTTTCGCTTAAAAACGTATTTTAAATTTCTAGTGTGCCATGGCTGTGTTAAAAACATAAATTTTTAATCAAGGAGCCTTGGAAAAATACATTTAATTGTCTAATTTTTTCATGTCTTGTCCTGGCCAGTTAAAAGATGCCCAAATCGTATTTTTAATAATATCTCAATTTTCTCAAATGGAACAAGAGTGGCTCATTAGTATATTTGGAAAAAGCATTTTTTTCGAATAATTTGGTACCACACACTTGATATTTTGAGTCAAATTTTCGTTATAAACCGCATGTTACAATTTCAAATAAACCTTATGCGAAAATGTCAAAAGTTGACAATGATATGCCATTCTATTCAGAGTGTCATTTTCTATCTAATAAAGTAAAAAAATACCGAGGGTTCCATTTAAAAATCAAAAGTTGCAGTCATTTCCGGTAAAACAGGAAGTGGCCGAAAACAATTGAATACGTCAATAAATCCTAATTTATGTAATACTAGTTGAAGATGAGTTGAAGCCTGGCGCATTCGCCACGATATCAGGAAAAAAATACTTTTTATTTTTTGTGTAATTAAATGAAAAACAAAAAATCCGGCGACGACAGTTTTTAGAAGAGCCAATTTAGCTATATTTTAGTAAAAAAAGCAACTTTCTACACAGACACAGATAAACATTAGCATTTTATATATATATGTAGATACTAACATACCAAATCTCGTTTTTTATCTGAAAAAATAAAAAAGTTATGAAGTGAGCGACTTTTGAGACGCACCCGGTATAAATAACATATTTTATGTTTTTTTTACTTAAATGAACTAGATAGGCAATAACAATTCGAACATTATTATGATATAATAGATTATTATGATATAATAGTAGATTTAATTAAATAACATAATGATGAAGCTACCTAATTTTACCAAAGTGTCATAATCTTATACATATTTATATCTGACCTATAAGGAATTATTTAGTCTTTTCTCTGACGTATTCTCATGTAGGAGGCACACTATAGAATTTTTATAAAATTATCATTCACAAATGGTTCTTATTAATGCATTAAAAATGAAAGTGTATTCATTTCTATGTTAGTCAAATAATAATTATGCATAACCTAATATGGTAACGTCAAACTCGAAAAGGGAAACAGCTGATTTTGAAGTTTAAAATTATAACACTGGAAAATAAATACAACAAATAATTCATTATAAAATAGGCAGGAAGCTTAATGAGTATGTATATTGGTCACAATTTAAAAATAGATTGTAATTGTGTCTTATTTATTAATAATTCAGTAAACAATCCTCGTTTAAAAGGCCCTATAAAAATGTAAAAAAAGACAAGATAACCAACGCCTACTACAGAAATAAAGAAAAGTTTACGCTAGAAAATTAGTAAAGCCAATATAATTTATCTGGAAAAATTAAATGATATTGTACGCTCTGTTACAGCTAGGACATGTTTCAAAATTAGTGACAAATGTTTATGGCTTTTGCCAAGAAAACTAGCTATGACTAATAATATATTTTTAAGTTTCTAATTGATAAACAAATCAAGTTACCTGTTGTGCAACTGGCTCCAGAATAGATTCGATGGTTTTTGTATGAAAAACTGGCATTTTGAACTAATTTTCACTCAAACACTTTAAAACACGAACAATACTCTTTTTACAATATTAAATAAGGAATATAAGGATTCGAACCTCCTCAAGAAATCTTTTGAGACATTTGCACTCCTCCAATTAACAGAAGAAACTGAAAATTTTCTAAAAATAGATCACTTAAGTTATGAAATTCGATTCATTTTCTTGGTTAGACTTACAGCTGTCTTTTACTGTCTCGCTGTATTGGAGAAACATGTGTTAAAAAGAGACGGAAGATGATTTCTTACTTTACCGGTGAGGCGATATTTTGAAACGATCTCAGCTCAATGTTTATTACTTAGTTGACATTTATCACAGACTTACGTTATTAAGTTTTTATTAAAGTGGGACAAAGATAACAGTTATAAAACGCTGTCTAATATATTTACTTAATTTTAAGATTTTTCTTACTTTCTGCTTTTTATAAAAATGGCGGATGCGCTAGATAAGGATTCTTGAGGTTTTTTATATTTATTTTCTGTTAAAACAAAGTTATACAGGATGTTCTCAATGAACGAGGTCATTGTAGGTGTTACATGGTACTCAAGAGATATAAAAATGCGGTAAAGAAAGTTTTGAATACATTAAATAGTTAATTGAATTAAAGCTCCGTCTACACGTTACGTTTTGTCTGTCAGTTAAAACGGATGACCGTCTATAGAACTGACGACAGTGTAGCATTGCGTTTAGTATAGTCGAAAAGAAAACACTTGAAATTTTACTACAAAATTGTGATTATGGTTTAAATTCCATTTGTAAGAAAATTTTATTTGTAAAAAATCATTCGATAGCAGATTCCATAGGCAGATTCTGTGGGGAAAATGTGGAAATACCAGAACACCTCATCACTGACTGCGCCGATACGACAGCCATTCGTGTCATAAACTTTGGTACGATTGATTTTGGAGATAAAAAAAACTATCATCTGTAAACCCTCTTAGATACTGGCTTTTTTCAAAGTCCTGAGTTTATTTTAGTTACTTTATGGTCCTGAGACTGTAAGACGAGTTATAACTAAGGAAAGGGGGACATAGAAGATCTGTAAAGTCGTGGTAATTAACTTCCACCATTCCATATATTCTAGGTTAGGTTTGGTTGCTGGGTCAGTGCCTTCTATTAAAAGATCAGCCTACGGGCGAGATTTATGACGTCACGCTAGTTAGATATAACGGATTAATAAATATGTTGTAGAATACATGGAAAACATAATTATTCCTCAGATTTTTGGTTTGTATTTTAAAAATGATATAGTTTAAATGAAATATACATAATATACAGTTAATAACTACAACATATATACCTATTTATAGTAATAAATACTTTGGCAAATAAACTATGAACCATACAAATGCAGCAAATGTTTTACGATGTACAAATAGTGTATAGGTACATAACATAATGGGTAAAATGTAAATATATTTTAAATTTTGGGGTTTGAAAATCGATCTAATTTAACAAAAAACATTCAATATCTAATAATAGTGATGTATTATTATTTGCATTCACAAAATTTATATGTATATCTTGCAAGTATCAATCTTCGAAAAATTATATTTACAAATAATACAATATTATCTAAAAAAGGCGTCAGCGATGGCTATGAAATGAAGATCGCTGGCATTTTATATGTAAAATTATTCTAAAATTTTTGATTTTCTTGGGATTTTTAGGTTCGGGAAAAACGCTGATTTAAGTTTTCATTTGGGTTTTCATTATTTTTATTTTGTTTAAAAAAACGTTTCGGCTAACTATAGCCTTCATCAGTGTTGTGTCATATGAGAAAAATAGTGTCGAATATAATCCAAAAAATTACATATACAATATAATTCACACCTCATAATATTTACTGCAATTAATAAACTAATATAAACTAATCAAAACATGACCACATATTTTTTAAAATTATTATTCTTAACACTAAAATTATCTACATTGACTATGGAGTACGCAGTACGCAGTAAACATTATGTGCGTGGTATGAATATTTTATATGTAATTTTTTGGATTATATTCGACACTATTTTTTTCATATGACACAACACTGATGAAGGCTATAATGTTAGCCGAACCGTTTTTTTTTTAAACCAAATAAAAATAATGAAAAACCAAATGAAAACTTAATCAGCGTTTTTCCCGAACCTAAATCCCAAGAAAATCAAAAAATTTAGTATATTTAGAAACAAGATTCAAGAATATCAAATTTTCCAAGATTGTAAAATTCTAGTTAATTATTTTATGTGTACAGTTATTTAGGGCATGTCATCGATGTTCATTTCCAAGCCAACTAGACGCCGATTTTTTTCGATGATACGGTATAATTCTTACATAAAATGTAAATAACATTAGACCAATTAAAACAAATAAATATGAATTTCTTAGTATTTTTAGTAACACCTTTATTCTTAAAACTTAATTTTGTATTATGCAAATATACCAATTTTATTGTTATTTTATTCATATTGTATTCAGCCATCACTTAAATATTTGATATTAATTTGGTATTATAAATAATACATACATTATATATTATCAAACAAAAACACATTCTTCTTTTAAACTGTATCAGTCTTGTCTTTACAAAAATCTTTTTTAAAATTTGAACTCAAAATAATAATCTTTTTCATGATCTTTAATACACATATTCTTTATTTTCCCTAGATCATAATACCTACTTACGTGTTTGAATCTATCGAAGCTGAACCAGCAACACTTGAGTGGAGATTCCAACAATATGAATAAAATAAACATACTTGTCCAGTTTTCATTAATACCATCATGGGAGAATATTATTTTTAAATTTATTAAAGATATTTTCAATAAAATTCTCTTGATTTATAACTCGTACCCACTTTTCTTGCTCTTCCGGACACTTTAGGCTGCCTAGTATAATAACTATCCTTAGTAACTATCCTTTCCACCAGGAACACAACAAAGATGAGGCATAGCACCAAAAACACACTCCACTTAAGCTTTATTGATGAATTGTTAGAGTCTTAAAAAACACACACAAAAATCACGATAAGTAAAAAATGTATGGGCACTTTTAGGTTAAATCACTTACACAACGTGTAATTTTTAAAATTTCTATTTTTTTATGCGAAACCGAGAGTGACCATATATCTGGTAGTAGTTTATGTCACTTCAACACCAAAATAATTAGTTTTTTGCACTACAATAATAAATAATACCAAAAATCAAAGAGTTAAAACCAAAAATCAACCGACAAAATATGAAACGGAATCTAACCCAATATCTAAGTATGTACAGCTGATGAAGTAAACAAAAGTCCGCCCGTAGGCTGATCTTTTAATAGAAGGCACTGGCTGGGTTTGGTCCCTCACTCGGAGGCCTTGGGCACATTGCGATACCCCTGGATTATTTTATTCACAGCTTTCTCTTATTCTTCCTCTGCATTAAGCACTTTCAGCTCTTTGCAAAGTTCCCGATGTCGCTGATGTTGGCTTCTGCTGCGTCCTCTAGTCCCTCCAAAAAACCTTGCCATAAAGTTTTAAAGCGTCGCTATTGTAGTGCCGGACAGTGGCACTGCAGGTGCTCTATGGTTTCTTCTTCCTCTCCACATTCTTTGCAGTAGTCGTCGTTAGAATTCTTCCATCTCACGAGGTTTACCCCCTTTGAGAGAAAATCTACAGTTCCCATACAATCTACAACAAAATATAAAACTTAGAACTGTTTAAAGAAAAGAATTCTTCAAAAAGACACCTCAAGAAATTTTAGTAAAAACCTATAGTTAAAACGTTTAACTTGCCTTTTTTAACTTATTTAAACAAATAGCAAAAACTAACCATCATGATGATATAACAGAATACAAACATACACATATACACATCTTGGTCTGTACATTTTATCTGCAAAGTTTTGTCAACGAAAGGAAGTCGCACGATAAGTCTTTACGTGTGGGCCAAACTTAACATTTACATCGATGTTTCTTTTTGCGATCCCAAACTGAAGCGCTCTACATACTGCCAACAGTCTGCCGACTTTTGTTCAATGGCCGGAAATATTTGGTAGAGTGGAGCTACTGTGTGTTTCTTATACCTAAACTTTTTCTTTACCTGACAAACCACCAAAATTCAGGTAGTACCTGACCAGTGTTGTTACAATAGGTACAATTGTACTATTTTGGGTACATTTGATAGTCAAGGAGTACATATGTACAATTGCAAGAAAAAATGTACAATTCTTAGTTCTCAAACCCAAACCACAGAATATCTAGCTACGCAACAGAAGCCTCGTTACATGTAAAAAATCGTAGGTCTCAAAAGGAGACAGACTTTTAAAGCCTGTCTCCAAATCAGATATTTTGATGCGGTAGTTTCACTACTACATAACAGAGGGCGATAAATTTAAAAGAAAACAGTTTTCTACAAAAGAAATTTAAAAGAATTTTATGTAGTGTTGCCATTGTGTAATTTATATTGTAATACTTCCTGATAAAGCCTACGTTCAAATTTGCTACATCGTTTAAACATATTAAAATAGATTAGAGCTCTTTTTCAAACGTTTAGGTATTTAACTTGCCATGTTAGTTGGAGTTAAATCTTACGAGCTGAATTAAAATCACTTCCTGACGTTTGATTCTAACTGAATCCTAAATTTTGATTGTAATTCGGCGACAATATAATAAGTATTGTTCTACTATTATGACACCACTTCCTGACGTTCGATTGTGTTCATACTTTATGATCGGGAAAAACGGCGTTAGCGATGGCTATGAAATGAAAATCACTGTCATTTTATGTGTAAATTTATATGGGAAATATCATCGATCGTCTTTTTCCCAGCCAACTGACGCCGTTTTTTTTCGGTATCATTGACGGTATTTGATATATACTTGCGTATTTTTCATGACATTGCAATATTATGGTACCATGAAGCATATCAAGTGATACCGTAATATAGTACCATATTACGATACATGGCGTTCGATTGGGCTTAAACTTGGTATATTTATATTACGTATCTTCAGTGACATTGTAATATTATGGTACCATGAAGCATATCAAGAGGTACCATAATAGTACCATATACGATACTATTTCCTGGCGTGCGATAGGATTTATACTTGGTATAGTAAGTATCTTCGGTGACATTTTAATATGATGGTACTATGATGCATATATAGTGGTACCTTAATATAGTACCATATTACAATACCACTTCCTGACGTTCGATTGGGCTCATATTTGACTATACTTGCGTATTTTTGATGACATTACAATATTATGGTACCATGAAGCATATCAAGGGGTACCATAATGTAGTACCATATTACGATACCATTTCCTGGTTTTCGATTGAGCTTAAACTTTATATACTACGTATTTTCGGTAACATCGTAATATGATGGCACCATGGAGCATATAAATTGGTACCTTCTATAGTACCATATTATGATACCACTTCCTGACGTTTATTTATTGGGCTCATATTTGATATATACTTGCATATTTTTGATGACATTGCAATATTATGGTACCATGATGCATATCAAGAGGCATAATAGTACCAAATACGATACCATTTCCTGGCGTTCGATTGGGCTTAACTTGGTATAGTAAGTATCTTCGGTGACATTGTAATATGATGGTACTATGATGTATCTACTATGATGCATAGGTATATAAAGTGGTACCTTAATATAGTACCATATTACGATACCACTTCCTGACGTTCGATTGAGCTCATATTTGATTATACTTGCGTATTTTTGATGACATTGCAATATTATGGTACCATGAAGCATATCAAGGGGTACCATAATGTAGTACCATTTTACGATACCATTTCCTGGCGTTCGATTGGGCCCAAATTTGATATACTTGTGTTTCATTATAAAGATTTGTTTAATTAATAATTTTAATTTATTTTACGAATTTTAATTTATTGTACGATGTCGTGACAGCAACTTTTATGCCGAACTAATATATTATTAATTGTACCTGTGTCACTTTTTAAAATCTACCTAGGTCTATATAAATAACATGGCAAACAGAAAAAATTTGTTATTATAGTATTTTTTTATTACAGTTGAGGGTTGGAACCTTTGGTGTTACACAGCAAAATAAAAAACACTAAATCACTACAATACACCAAAACACTTTTACTTTTACACTGGACGCGCGTTTCGCTAACCATGTTAATAATCATCTGCTGAACCAGTTTATAATCATCTGCTGATGATGCTAACATGGTTAGCGAAACGCGCGTCCAGTGTAAAAGTAAAAGTGTTTTGGTGTATTGTGGTGATTTAGTGTTTTTTATTTTGCAGTATTTTTTTAGTCAATTAACATTTTTGGTACTGCATTTTAATAAATCATTTCCATTATTATTAAACGTATATTTCATTACTAACGTTTCAGCATTAATAAATATCACTATCAATCGCCCTGTATATTATTAATTTTAAAGGTAATTAAAGTTATTTTCTTAGTTAACATAATAAAGTAATGTATATTAAAAATGTATTTTAGAGAGCATATGTTTTTCTAATTTATTTTTTTATTTTTTATTAATTTATTCTAATTTTAAAAGCCAAACGAATAATTAATATAAGTGTATCTAACAAGAAACGAAGAATAGAAAGAAATTATTATACACCAGAAAAATGGGATGCCAATTAAAGTCTGTTTGAATCTGGCAACTGTGCATATTTTGCCGAGCTTCAAGGCCGTCGACGTGCCGTTGATCTACGTCGATCCAAAACCGAAAGTTGAAAATTTCCAATTATATTCTGATTATGATATTGTCTCGCCATCTAGTATTTTATTTGTGCAATTTTAGCTCTTTCATTTCGAGTATTTTTCTGTTGCATAGCTAGATATTCTGTGCCCAAACTAACCGAAACTTAAACCCACGTACATATTTTTTTAGACGAATGGTGATACGCGATGAGTGGATTTGAAATGCAGGTTGCTAGAAGCAGAGGGTTTAATTCAGATCATACTCCTAGCGACCTGCCTTTCAAATAATGCCAACGTGCCGGCGCGGCGGCATTTTCGAATTCGCTGTGGAACGGTTCGGTTGACAACTGACGTCAATGACGTAAAATTAAGTTGAAAGTTAACACTTTACATTTTATTTTTTGTTTATGTTTTATATTATACCAGTATATTTTTGAGTTTATTATTTCTTTGTTGGTGTTCTTTGTTTTTATGACCCCACATTTTTCCGCCAAAAATGTACAATCCCACTTAAAAAAGTACAATTTCGACACCATTTAAAGTACAAAATTTTTTGCCCTTGTAACAACGCTGTACCTGACTGGTACCAGACTAGATGGGTACGATAGGCAGATTTACCACCTCGGAATGTCTTGAAGTTCAAGGCTAAAAGAGGTATAGCAACAGGTAGATATAAAATATCTGGTTCTTCAATCAGACTGCTACTGTGAAGGTACTCTTTACCATCTCTTTAACATGAAAGGTGTCTTGCAACAAGTGCTCTGTATTGTTGATATAAGATATATATTATTGTGTTGTTAAAACTACTTCTCTGTGTTGTATTTTGTATTGGTAAATATTTATTTTCTCGATTAATGGATCCTTCTAATTTAGTTAATATTTTACAAATTGTTGCTTTTAAGAACTTCTCCAATCCTCATGTTATTTTTGATACAAAATTTAACTTAACTAACATCAAAAAAACAACTGTAACCAAGAATATCAGTGATCAGATTCAGCTTGAGAACTCAGAAATAGTAATGATTGAGAAAAAACTCTTTGAAATTGAGCATAGAGCTTTGACCATCGATTCTTGCGACGATGATTGGATTCAGTTAGCGCAAAATTCAAATCCTAATTTTATTCAAAACATTTCTTTCATATCACAACTAATGAACCTATATCACCATTTATAGAGGAATTTATTTTTTTTTCAGGTTTGAAAGAATATATCAAACTTTCTAGTCAAAAAATTTAATCATTACCTACATTTTTTCCGAAAAAACGCTGTTAACAATAACCACATTCTTTTCCAAACCATCTAGTGTTAATAAACATTTTAAATTTCTAAAAAAAGTCACTTTAATTCCGATATCGAAATTCAAATCTCTAGGTTTTGCTATTCAAAATTGTATGACATTTGAAATAAAAGAAAATAAGTACTCGTAGATATCATACGATCGAAAAAAAAACGGCGTCAAAGACGGCTGGGGAATGACAATTGATAAAAATTTTGGCGAGGTCAAGCCCTATAGACTTCATTACTTGACCCGTACTCTTCATTATTTTTAATGGCGCTTATTGCCAGTTGGCCTTAAGAAAGTAGTTGAATTAGTTTTAGGTGTTATGTCAATTATTAGTAAATGACGTATAGGGATTGCCTATCCTAGCCGTCTTTGGCGCCTGTTTTTTAGATCATACGGTATATTCTGAGGTAAGGTTTAAATATACGAAGAAATGTTTTGATTCGCTAGGAGATTCATTAATTGATTTTCCAAATTGTTTTATTTTTGTTATTTCTTAATTAAATTGAACATAGAAATGTATTTAAACAATTTTCTATTTAAATTTCTTTTATAATAAGTCGTCAAATATACAACACAATATTTCTTTAAAGTTAGTAATTAATATAATGTACATATATCTATTTAAAAATACTTATTTAGAATTAAGATTATTAAAATGTATATAATTGTTCATATTACGGTATAAAGAGTATCACAGTATAAAAAGTCAAGATGATTTAAAGTGTGCTGCTTCTGGAGAAAAAACGTAAGTTTATTTTTCTTTACTTTACATACTTTTTTAAACTACCCTGGATTAGTACACAACACATCCCTACTTATTATAAAACTAGCGTGTACCCGCGACTTCGTTCGCGTCGAATTAATTATTTGTAATGGTGATGATAAAGCAAAGCAAGAATTTCCATTAACATACTGGATAACATTTTCTCACATTTATGTCAGCATGAGAAAAAAAAACAATATGGCGAGATTATTATATTTTGGCAGTTACTAAGTATGAAAGATAAAAATCATTTTCACCCCATTTCATCTCCTTAGAAAAATCCCTTTGCCAAAAATAAGCTTTTTACGACAAGCAGTTTAAGCAGAATCGTGGTTAATCCATTACCCAACTTTTTGGAACACCCTGTATGATTTTTTAAAAAAATTCAAAATATGTAAAAAAACAAAATAAATTATGCGTGTCCAAGCGTTTTCCCGAAAGACTAACCGTTTTTTAAATAACAAATATTGTAATATTTGAGGGGCGTTTTCACCCTCTTGGAATTTGAGATTCGAGAAACCCCTCCTTATTGAACCTCTACACCCCACAGTCAATCCGTTTGCCGAAAATCAGCTTTAAACGTCAAGCAGTTTAAGCAGAATCGTGATTACTCAATGGTCATATTTTCTGAAACACCCTGTATAAATTTTTAAAAAATCTTAAAATATGTAAAACAACAAAAACCGAAAAACTCACCGGTTCTTAAATAAAAAATATTCTAATATTTGATGGGTGGTTTCACCCCCTTAGAATTCGAGTTTCAAAAAATCCCTTCTTATCGAACCTCTACACCCTAAAGTCAATCCGTTTTCCAAAAATCAGCTTTTTACGTCAAGCACTTTAAGCAGAATCGTGACTAATCAATGATCAGATTTTTCGAAACCCCCTGTATACATTTTTAAAAAATCTTAAAATATTTATGTAAAAAAACAAAATAAAATATACGTGTTTAAGCGTTTTTCGGAAACTTGACCGTTTTTTAAATAAGAAATATTGTAATATTTGAAGGGTGGTTTCACCCCCTTGGAACTGGAATTTCGAAATATCCCTTCTTATCGAACCTCTACACCCTAGAATCAACCTGTATGCCAAAATTGAGCTTCTCACGTTGAGTCGTTTGAGCAGTATCGTGATTAATCAGTAGGTCAGTCACTTAAGGATTTTATATATTAGTATAGATATACAGATTGTTAACTGGACGGTTACTTATTGGGGAACAGAATGGCAACACTGCCTACATTCCAAATAAGTACTAAAGCTAAAGCTGCCGACTCGTCCCGTCGCGTCGCGTCGCGTCTTCTCTCGACGAGCGGGCCGAGGTTGCCATATTTCAACCATAAAGCTCTTGCCGCGAGTAATAAACAAATTAACAACCTGTATATGAATATCTGCCCACTAGGATTAAACGTGTTTCTGTGGCAGAATAGGTACCGAAAGAACTTAGAAGAAGCAGTATACTGTATCGAGAAACTAAAACCAAAACGTTTATGGTGTAACAAACTAAACAAAAACGTTTATGTGGTGAGTGTTATTTTCTCCATTAGACACACTTGGAAAATAAACATACCTGGGTATATACCGGGTACATAGTATAAACATGATGAAGAGAAGAGATATCAACTGGATTAAAGGAGGATTGCCACGGAGATGACTCACTAGGGCTAAATATATTCCTGATGAGGCAGAATACCGAAGGAATTTTGTCAGTGTTGAAATGTTAGTAGGTACTTAACTTAAATTGAATTACTCTGTCTTGACTTAACGTTAATTATCATGTAATTATTTTGATTTAAGTCATTTTATCGACTTAAAGTTTGATTTTGATACATCCGTTCTCCGACGATAGGTACGATGATACGATATTAATTTTATTGGTTGAGTTTAAAGACTTCGATTGGTTAGAAAATTACGCCGTTTTTAAATTTATTGCATTTTCATGCCTCCGTTCATCTGATATACGATTTGCTTGTGATTGGTGTCATTTTATATTTGCATGTCATAACGATTTCGCTGTTTTACTTATAGTCTAAAAGCTGGCAACATTTTCGAGAGACTTTTAAGAATCCTGGTTCTTTTGCTATGCTCTCCTGAACAGAGTGCGGACCGTCTGGCTGCCGGTGGATGTTGCGTTCCCTGCTGCGCATCATATCTGTATTCAGCATCTGTTCACTACTGCGCATCACAAATTCTCCCTGTATTTCAGAAACTAAGGAGGGTAGGACAAACCTATATACAGTGTGACCCACTCAAGACCGGGCACCCTCCATAAAATCTGTGTTTATAGTCCGATTTTGATGATTTTTTTTTCAAATATAAAGTTTCAAAAAATGTACTTTAGGGCTCAATGTCATGTTATTTCACAAAAAACAAGGCCTACTTAATAAAGTTTTTGTGGTGAAAAATTTGCAAAATCATATTAGCGATTTTTTTTCAAAAAATTTGAGTACACCCCTACATTCGGCATCCCTCAAAACAGTTCTGTACCAAATTTCGTTTAAAAATATTAATTATTAATAATTCTGCAGTTAAATTAAATAATTCCCTATTTTTGCCAATTTAACGATGAGTTATAACGTAACCCTTGAAAAAAACAATCCACAACAATGGGTTTTATTAGCTGTCAATTCTTGCAGCGTAGAATTGAATATTAATTTAATAGCACGCAGAAAAGTGTTGTATCAAGAAATATTATTTGCATTATGGAACAATTAAATATTAGGGATAAAATTGAAATGATTCGTTTAGTGGGTGATAACTATCTTCAAGCAGGAGAAGCTGCCAGAGAATTTAACAACAGACATCCCGACAGACCTGCAGTAAGTAGAAGCACGGTTCAACGAATAAATAGAGTTTTTAATGAAACTGGTTGTGTGTCAAAATACTTACTAAAAAACAGAAGGCCGGAACATTGAATAAATAGGCGGAATGAGGAAATATTAGAATATTTTCGTAACAATCCTCGTGCAAGCATTAGAGGCGCCAGTGTTGATTTGGATATACCAAGGGAAAATATTAGGAGATGTTTGCGAACTAATAAAGTTAAACCCTTTAAACCAAAGATTTTACACACTTTGGAAAACGGAGATGATGTTAGACGATTGAATTCTGCTTATGGGCTCAAGCAGAGTATTTAAATAATAGAAATTTCTTAAAAGAAATTTTATTTAGTGATGAGGCAACATTTAGTACAAACGGAGTAGTATCCTCTCAAAATTCGCGATTCTGGGCAGTCGAAAACCCTGAATGGGTGATCAATACAAGAAGACAGTATTCTCAGAAATTAAATGTGTGGTGTGGCATACTTGATGATAGAATCATTGGTCCATATTTTTTTGAGAGAAATTTGAATAGTCCAACGTTTTTGAATTTTCTGATTAATGACTTTTGGGATGCAATACATAATTTACCATGCCAAACCCGTTTGAATTTAAAATTTCAATTGGACGGATCACCTGTGCATAACGCGGCAGTTGTCAGGGAATGGTTAAATGAAAATTTTGAAAATAAGTGGATAGGTCGAAATAGCCCGCTAATTGAGTGGCCACCGAGATCCCCGGACCTAACACCCCTTGATTTCTTTCTTTGGGGTTTCTTAAAGCAACAAGTTTACAAGTCTAGACCTCAATCTGTAGATGAATTACGGCGTATTAGAATTACAGAGGCTTCTGCAAATATTACACCACAGCAGCTTAGGAATGTAACTGTTAATCTAAAAAAGATGCGACAAATGCATTGAACTGAATGGAGGGGGCTGGTAGAAGCTAACTCAGAATTATTTGAATATGTTTAACTTATTATTCTATTGTGTTGTTGCTTGTAGTATTTTTATCATTGTTTGTAATAAAACTCGTTGTCGTCGATTGTTTTTTCAAGGGTTACGTGATAACTCATCGTTAAATTGGCAAAAATAGGGAATTATTTAATTTAACTGCAAAATTATTAATAATTAATAATTTTAAACGAAATTTGGTACAGAACTGTTTTGGGGGATGCCGAATGTAGGGGTGTACTCAAATTTTTTGAAAAAAAATCGCTAATATGATTTTGCAAATTTTTCACCACAAAAACTTTATTAAGCAGGCCTTGTTTTTTGTGAAATAACATGACATTGAGCCCTAAAGTACATTTTTTGAAACTTTATATTTGAAAAAAAAATCATCAAAATCGGACTATAAACACAGATTTTATGGAGGGTGCCCGGTCTTGAGTGGGTCACACTGTATATGTGTAGCATATTTAGTTTCATAAAAAAGTAGCAAAGTAATGTGAAAATCGCATCATTGTATCTCCACTCATAAATGAGAAATCGCAGTAGTAGTCTACCGGCAGCCACTTTGGTCAGGAGAGCATAGCAAAAGATATATTAAAGAACCAGCTTTCTTAAAATTCCCGTTTATCCGGGAAAAGAAAGAAAGTCTTTAAAGACTTAAAATTGAAATCATTTTGATTTTAGAAATGACTTAAGACTTAGATTTAAGTAATTTTCAAACTGACTTGTTGCAGCTCTGATACATACAGGGTGTCCCAGAAATAAGTGCCAGTATTTTAAGGGGTGGTAGATCTGGTCAAAGGAAAGAAGTTATTGAACTTTGGCAACATTTTGAGAACCGCTGGCGATAGTCGGGCATTAAGTTTTTTTCAAGAGGTTTTTCAGCTTATTCGACGACTCCGGTGAATAAACGAGTGGCACTAAAAAGTTTTTTAAAATTTCCTGGAAAATGTCAAGAAAAATATAAAATTTTCAACAATTTTTTTTCGTAAAAAACCTCACAGGCGTGTTTCTGGGGCCGGTATACAGGGTGTCCCAGGCTGAGCGTGCATTAGAAGTTTCTAGAGAACCACAATATCTAGATCGGAGGTTTTTTGCACATCATTGTTTTACAACGAGATCCAGTGGCGTAGCAAGGCGGGGGCGGAGGGGTCGGACCGCACCGGGCGGCGCAAAGTGATGCAGAAGTTCCCAAAAGCGGCAGAAAATCAAAATATCAAAAGTATTTTTTTTTAATTATAATTTCACTCGTATAGTTCCTAATAGACCATATTTTCAGAATCGTGAAGATTTTTGAATGAAAACGGGTCCATTATTAATCCCTGATAAGAAATGTTCGAGCTTATAAAATTATTAGCTGAAGCTAAAATATTTTGATTAAATTTTGATTAAATAAAATTAGTGCGTTTAACGTTGGTGATAAATTAGTTAAAAACTGATGGTACTCTGAGAAAGTACAATGTTTTCAACTGTTTCTCCTCATGGTAATTCTAGTTTTAACTTCCCTGGTACCATAAAAAAAATCAATAAAGACCTTGATGTAATTAGGAACTGCTTAATCTAAAATCACATTTTATGTAAGCCAATACAAAATGCTCCAAATTGCTCCAAAGAAATATGATGTATGTTACAATTATTAGCCTTTTTTCTCCATAACTACGAAGTTTCATGACCAACATTAGCCCACAAATACCCTTTAGGTTGCCTAACTCTCCCGAAAACCATGGTTTAGTTTCCCAAAATAAATTACGTATGACATTATATTACTGGGTGTTTCTTATGTGCTTATTTTCAGTGCTGTTAGATCTCGATAAAAGAAACATATTTTCTCTTTATCATTTTTCAAATAAAAAATTTTAGCAAAAAAAATAGCTAAAATTTTGAGAACCACTGGATCTTTTCTGGATTTTCTTTCTTGTAAATTTAATCTACTATCTATGTTGCTATATTATCAAGAAATTATGTTTCTTAACTAAAACAAATTTCAAAAAAATTTTCAAAAAATTCCGAATTTTCAAAATTTTTTTTTCGCGAAAAAAATTCATAGTCGTGTTGCTGGGGTTGAACTATTCTCCCAGTTAAAATACTTGCACTTATTTCTAGGACACCCTGTAGGTATATAAAAAAACACGAATATCTAAAACGCACTTATAGATTTATTCGTTTACAACACAAGGAATAATAATATCTTGATTATGTGTTTGGTTATTTGTAATTGGCAAAAATAGAAACCAGCAAGGCTTGTGATAAAGAAAAAAATATTTTGAAGAGATTATGACTTCCTCTTCTATCTTGCTCACAGCAGTGCAGGCTTCCGCTGAAAATGGATAAAAATTTTGTAGATAATTTCAGTTTCAGTCTTAGAATGACCGTTAACAGTTAATTTATAGTGAACGAAAAGAATTTTTTAAAGTGATTTTATAAAATTGAGTAATATGAGAGTGTTTAGTGCGATTTTTTTAGTGATAATGCCATTTGTTGATGTTGCAGATAGTATATTCATTAGTAGGATGCGTAAGTGTCAAATCTTATATACAGGGTCGTGCTTGCAACAGCGCGTTAGGCATCTGTAGCTCCTATATTAAAACACTTAGGAATTTTGTTCGCAAATTGCAAACCTTAAAGTATGTACTAGGTTGCATTTTTCATCAAAAAATTGTGAGGGGATCTGGATATTTTTTTTAAAATGGAATACCCTGTATATTATTGCATTTTTTGCTTCCTTTTCCATCACTTTGCATAATTCTAAGATATTATCAAATATGTTCTGCTAGTTTTAGATGAGATATTAATAAAAAAACAGACTTTAAAAAAATATTAGAAAAACAAGAAATGTCTTGAAATCAAAAATATACTAGGTATTTACTATAGTTGTTCTATACTTAACATTGTTATAAATATCGTAATCTTAAATTATACAAGGGTGTACAAAATTCTACGCCAAACTTTCTAAAATATTAAATCATTTTTCTTTGTTTTTTTTTGTTAAATGGCCCTCTACAGGGTTGTTCACCACATACAACACAGAGTATTGTAGCCAAACGATTAGATTTTTACAAATTGTAAGTTTTGGGTTCGTTGAAGGACTATTAGAGCTACAGTTTAAAAATCATTTTACAAAATACAGAGTGTCCCAAATAAGTAAAAAATATTATAGTTGTATTTTCTTTTAAATGGAACACCCTGTATATTATTCTATTTTTAGATTCTATGATTGAAATAAAGGTAAACTTAATTAACCCTACCGTTTTTGAAATATTTTCAATTTTCAAAAAATTTAAGGCTTCATTTCTCCAAGGGTATCAAAGTTTTTAATACTAAATATTTACTGCAGATTATTTATTGATCAGATATTGTGTTGCAATAATAAAAATTATACTACCTTATACAGAGTGCCCAAAAATTTATATTAAATAATTTCTAGCTTTAAACGGCAATAACTTGTTTAATTTAAATGGAAGATCCTGTATATTTTACGTGAATCAGATGCACAATTTAATTATCTATCAAATTGTGTTTTACTATTTTTATCTATCTCTTCAAGTTTTTGTAGAAAATGCATTTTCTTATAATTTAGATCTCATTTATCACTATACCCATGGAATATTGACATTTTAGATTTTTTTAAAGCAAAATATGTACAAAATGTACAAGTAGTTAAAATAATAATATTGCAAGCCCATTTGTTTACAAAAAAAGAACTATTTAAATCTTTGTTTTTTTTGCCGTCTCGCTAGCTCATGTGTGCTTTGAATTTTAACTCCCAGTGCGCGTAAAGAAATTCCACTTCAAAGACAATTTTAATAATAACTTAGGACTACGTAAAGTAATTATAAGGAAGCTACAGATACAATAATGTACAGGGTGTTCCATTTAAAAATAATACTCCCGATCCGTTCACACTTTCTTGAGCCATTCTGTAGAAGTTAAAATATTTTCCCTAAATAGGATCTAGTACATACATACTTTACGTATATGCACTCTATAAGTTCTTTCTCATGTTTTTGATGGGATAATACGATATGATCGAAAAAAAAACGGCGTCAGCGATGGCTATAAAAAAAAGATCGCTGTCATTATATACGTAAAACTAGCGTGTACCAGCGACTTCGTTCGCATCGAATTGATCATTTGTAATGGTGATGATAAAGCAAAGCAAGAATTTCCATTAACATACAAACTGGATAAAATTTTCACACATTTATGTCAGCATTAGTAAAAACAATATGGCGATATTATTATATAACTTCGTAATATTTGAGGGGTAGTTTCATCTCGTTGGAATTTGACTTTCGAAAAATCCGTTTGCCAAAAATAAGCTTTTTACGTCAAGCAGTTTAAGCAGAATCGTGGTTCAGAAATTACCCAACTTTTTGGAACACCCTGTATGATTTTTTAAAAAAATTCAAAATATGTAAAAAAAAACCAAATAAATTATGCTTGTCCAAGCGTTTTCCCGAAAGACTAACCGTTTTTTAAACAACAAATATTGTAATAAATATTTGAGGGGCGTTTTCACCCTCTTGGAATTTGAGATTCGAGAAACCCCTTCTTATCGAACCTCTACACCCCACAGTCAATCCGTTTATCAAAAATCAGCTTTAAACGTCAAGCAGTTTAAGCAGAATCGTGATTACTCAATGGTCATATTTTATGAAACAGCCTGTATAAATTTATAAAAAATCTTAAAATATGTAAAACAACAAAATAAAATATACGTGTTTAAGAGTTTTTCCGAAAAACTCACAGGTTTTTAAATAAAAAATATTTTAATATTTGAGGGATAGTTTCACCATTGGTTTCACCCCCTTAGAATTCGAGTTTCAAAAAATCCCTTCTTATCGAACCTCTACACCCTAAAGTCAATCTGTTTTCCAAAAGTCAGCTTTTCATCAGTCAAGCGCTTTGAGCAGGATCGTGATTAATCAATGACCAGATTTTTCGAATCACCCTATATACATTTTTAAAAAATATTAAAATATGTAAAAAAACAAAATAAAATATACGTATTTAAGTGTTTTTTCGGAAACTTGACCGTTTTTTAAATAAAATATATTGTAATATTTGAGGGGTGGTTTCACCCTCCTGGAACTGGAATTTCAAAAAATCCCTTCTTATCGAACCTCTACACCCTAGAATCAACCTGCATGCCAAAATTGAGCTTACGTTGAGTGGTTTGAGCACGATCGCGATTAATCAGTATGTCGGATTTTATATATTAGTATAGATTATATGGGAAATGTCATCGATTTCCAAGCCAACTGGACGCCGTTTTTTTCGATAATATGGTATTTTCTCTCCTAGAGGAGCTACATTTTTAAACGAAATATTCAATTTCAGCGTGTCGCGATCCTGAGATCAAAAACGGCAGGGCAAGACTAAAACAAAGAGGACGATGGGCAAAATTTATTTGTGCCCCTAGTTATACTCTTGTTGGCGAAAGGACAGCTTATTGTAGGAATGGAGTGTGGGACATAACACTCCCAAAATGTGTCGGTAAGTATAGATAACTCAGATATTAGTAAACTGACAGCCTATTTTTTTATTTCTTATTGAATTAATATAAGCTTATATCGTCTTATCAACGGTAATATATTCATTGACTATCTTTCTCTTTTCTCTTAGGTTCAAGTTGTCCAAAACCGGGTAAAATACCTGTCAATAGCGTGATGTTGGCTCCAATTCCAGGAGCTTTAAACTTCTACTGTCAGCCAGGATACTCAATGACTGGACCAAAAACGTTATATTGTGATGGAAAAACATGGGACAACCATATGCCAGCTTGTATAGGTAAACATAATACAGGGCGAGTCTTAAATAACTGCAAATATTTTCAGGGCTGGTAGATCTCGATAAAAGAAACATATTTTCTTTTTAGTGTTTTTTAAATAAGTCGAAAATAACCGAGTTTTTCAAGTATGGAATTAAAAAAAATTGATTTATTTTTAAAAAAATTGTATCACCGGATTTTTTCTGTATTTGTATCCTTTTCGTGCCGTATCCATGCCGTAACCAGAGATTAGAGATTATAATGAAATAATAGAATATCAGAGATTTAAATTTGCAGTGAATAGGCAGTTCTAAAAAGTTTTCTAAGATATACATAGGAATATTTAAAAGAAAAAGCACGATTTTAACATCTTTTTTTTGCGAATAAGTCTCATAGACGTGTTCCTGGTGTCGAAATATACCACCCTAAAAATATTTGCACTTATTTAAGACTTACCCCGTATATACTTACGTATAAAATAATTTTAAGCCAAAATACAAAAATAACTTAGCTTATTAAGTATGCACTTTTAAAAACCTTTAAACAGTACAGACTAAAAAGTTAAATAATATACATTGTTTACCTTATTTATGAAAATAAGTGTAGATATTTTTCGAAAGTTTATAACGCGGCAAATAAAATATACAGGGTGTTCCATTAAAAAAACATAAGTTTGTGTCATATTTCGAAAAATACAGCTTCCAACGAAATACGAGTTGCACCACAGGATTCTACGTAGAAAACTCTACAGGAAACAGTTTTTACCTTTTCGATATCTTATATGATAACCGAGATACGAGGTGTGTCGAAAAATGCATCAATTTCAAATTTGTCCTGTATTTTAGGAACTAAGAGGGCTCGTACAAATCTATATGTAGTATCATTAGTTCCATAAACGAGAAACCCCATAAACCACACGAAAATGGGACACCCTGTACAAATATATTAATTTTTTAGCTTCCAACGAAAAAGCACCTTTGTTCTGTGATTTCGAAAAGTCAGACATATGCTACTGGAACCACGACTTGAACCATGATATGGACTGGACACGAGGGCAATACAAGACTCCAACAGGCTACTCTATGCCAACTGGACCCAGCCATGACCACACCAAAGGCTTCCGGTCTAACGGTAAAGTTACAAAAAACAAACTATAGCTAGTATACCGGGTGCGTCTCAAAAGTGGCTCACCCTTATAACTTTTTTATTTTTTCAGATAAAAAAACGAGATTTGGTATGTTAGTATATGACATAAATTAGGATTGATTGACGCATTCAATTTTTTTTGTCACTTCCTGTTTCACCGGAAATCACTACAACTTTTGATTTTTAAATAACACCCTCGGTATTTTTTTACTTTATTCTATAGAAAATAACACTCTGAATAGAATAACATATAATACGTCAACTTTTGACATTTTCGCATATGGTTTATTTGAAATTGTAACATGCGGTTCATAAAGACAATTTGACTCTAAATACTAAGTGTGTGGTATCAAATTATTCCTAAAAATGCTTTTTCCAAATATGCCAATAATAAGCCATCCTTGTTCCATTTGAAAACATTGAGATAGGATTAAAAATACGATTTGTGCATCTTTTAACCGGCCAGGACGAGACACGAAAAACATTCGAAGATCAAGTCTATTTTTCCAAGGCTCTTTGATTAAAAATTGGTATCAAACACAGCCATGCATGGCACTCTAAATTGACATTTTAAAGTACGATTTTTTTAAGCAAAAACATCAAAAGTTGACATATGATATGTCATTCTATTCAGAATGTCCTTTTCTATCGAATAAAGTAAAAATATACCGAGGGTGCCATTTAAAATACAAAAGTTGTAGTCATTTCCGGTGAAACAGGAAGAGACCGAAGACAATTGAATACATCATTCAGTCTTAGTTTATGTCATATACTAATATACCAAATCTCGTTTTTTATCTGGAAAAATATAAGTTATAAAGATGAGCCACTTTTGAGACGCATCTGGTATAGTATATAGATTGTAGATAATTAAATATTTTTTCCTAGGTTACTACATGTATTTGGAAACATCATCGCGAAGAGTAAACGATACAGCCCGTTTAATTTCACCAATATTTCCGAAAACCAATACTATAGGGTGCTTGGAATTTTGGTACCATATGCACGGCCGAACTATAGGTAATAAGGAGCGACCAACAATGGTTGAAAGAGTTGGCTGGCTTGGTGTAGTGATTTCGCTTGTTTGGTTGGCAATAGAAATAAGAAAAATTGACGTCAATGAATTAACATAATTTGCTAGTTTTTTCACATCTCCGCGACCTTACAGATCTATTGCATTCCCCTTTCTTGAGTTGTAACTCATCATATACAGTCTCAGGGTTTTGACAAAAGCCAGTATCTGAGACGGTTTCACAGAGGTTCTCCATCTCCGATATTAGCCGTACCAAAGTTTATGGCACGAACGATTGTCGTCTCGGCGCACTCACTGGCTTTGTTCGGGTTCTTATTATTACCGATTCTGAACTGTCCTAGAACTCTGCCGCGCATGCGCTAATAAAATAATTTCTCCGTGTGTCCTTCTGCGCATGCGTATCACAGTTCTAGGACGGTTCAGAATCGGTAATAAGAAAAACCCGAAGTAAGCTACTGATGAGGTGTTCTGGTGTTTCCCCATTTTCCCCACAGAATTTGCATTCGCCGTTGTTTCTTCGTTTCAATCTACTGAGGCGTTCATTGCGGAGGCAATGTCCTGTTAACAAACCCGTGACAATCCGAAGATTGTTCTTACTTCAATCAAGGAAAATCTTTGATTTTTCTCGGTCGTAAGTTTTGAGGCATTTCTTCGAGTATCTTAGACCGCTGGAAGTTTCCCATTCCAGGTGACCAGGTGATTTAAGTTGGTTTCCGAAATCAGTGTTCCCAACTCTCAAAAATTTACCTCCATAAAAATCTAAAATGCTCACTTCAAAACCCCCCAAAATATCACTAAAAAACTAAAAAAAAATTATCCCCTAAAAACCCCCAAAAAATATAAAAAAATAAATAAATATTATTAAACAAACAGGTATACAGGGTTGTTCACCACATACGACACGGCGTATTGTAGCTAAACGATTAGATTTTTACAAATTGTAAGTTTTGGGTTCGTTGAAGGATTATTAGAGCTACAATTTAAAAATATTTTTACAAGATACAGAGTGTCCCAACTAAGTAAAAAATATTATAGTTGTATTTTTTTAAATGGAACTCCCTGTATATTATTCTATTTTTAGATTCTACCGTTAAAATAAAGGTTAATTTGATTAAGGTTCATCATACTTAAACCTTACCGTTTTTGAAATATTTTGAATTTTATGAAATTGCAGTAAAAATTTTAAGGCTTCATTTCTCCAAGGGTATCAAAGTTTTTAATACTAAATATTTACTGAAGATTATTTATTGACCAGATATTGTGTTGCAATAATAAAAATTTACTACCTTTATACAGAGTGTCCAAAAATGTATATTAAATAATTACTAGCTTTAAACGGCAATAGCGTGTTTAATTTAAATGGAACACCCTATATATTTTGCGTGAATCAGATGCACAATGTAATTGTCTATCAAAATATATTATACCATTTTTTACCTATCTCTTCAAGTTTTCGTAGAAAATACATTTTCTTATAATTTACACCTCATTTATCACTATACCCATGGAATATTGACATTTTAGATTATTTTTAAAGATGTAACAAATTTTCTAAGAGTACAGATACTAATATTGTCGATATAGCTCGCTTATTTCATAAAAAAAATAAAAAAAAACTGTTTAAATATTTTTGTTAAAAAGGACCAATTAATATGATCCCAGTATTCAGACTACATTAATTGACTGTTTATGTTGATTAATAATAATTGCTCCAAATACTAAAAAACTGAATTTTGTGTGTGTATTAGACAGTGTGGTAAAAAGTAACGCATTATAAATTTTATTTCATTTTTTGACGAATGCTGATTTATAAAAGCAGAGACGTTTATTTTCATAATTTATTGTTATATTGATTTCTGAGCCAAATCCACATTTATTTAGAATACTTTATTAATTAAAACAATTTAAAAGTATGTAATTAACTAATTTTTGGTCGGAAATAATGGTGGTATATTTAATTCGTATACTCTTTTATAAAGATTTAAATATTTTTTTTTGGTATACCAGTAGGCTTGCAATATTTACCACCGATATTTTGTGCAATGTTGCTTAAAATATAAATCTGAAATGTCAATATTCCATGGGTATAGTGATAAATAAGGCTTAAATTATAAGAAAATGCATTTTCTACGAAAAGTTGCAGAGATAGGTAAAAAATGGTATAATAAAATTTGATAGACAATTAAATTGTGCCTATGATTCACGTAAAATATACAGGGTGTTCCATTTAACTTAAACACGTTATTGCCGTTTAAAGCTAGTAATTATTTAATATAAATTTTTGGACACTCTGTATAAGGTAGTAAAATTTTTATTATTGCAACACAATATCTGATCAATAAATAATCTTCAGTAAATATTTAGTATTAAAAACTTTGATACCCTTGGAGAAATGAAACATTAAAATTTTTATTGCAATTTCTTAAAATTGAAAATATTTCAAAAACGGTAAGGTTTAAGTGTGATAAACCTTAATCAAATTTATCTTTATTTCAATCGTAGAATCCAAAAATAGAATAATATACAGGGTGTTCCATTAAAAAAAATACAACTATGATATTTTTTACTTATTTGGGACACTCTGTATCTTGTAAAATATTTTTAAATTGTAGCTCTAATAGTCCTTCAACGAACCCAAAACTTACAATTTGTAAAAATCTAATCGTTTAGCTACAATACTCCGTGTCGTATGTGGTGAACAACCCTGTATAATAGTGTGTTTTAAGTGGTTGAACGTTTATTTGCTGTATTTGAGCGTAGAATATAGAATATATTTTCGTTCTTTACTAAATTTAGTAAGAGTGACAACGAAGGAAGATTCCCGTTTATTTGTCTTTTACTCGCCTCTGCGCATATCGATGGCGGTAACAATGAAATGTTCAAAATCGGGTGCCTAACATAAATGAAATAAATAAATTATTATTTTGTTTTATTTATACTTTCCTATTAATTTTGATAAATAGCAGTAGAGATAAAAAACCCTACTGAAATGTTATCCCTAAAAACACCCCCAAAAAATTTTACTCCCTAAAAAAACCCTGTACAGATTTTTCCCCCTAAATTTAGGGAGAAAACACTGTCCGAAATCCTCTAACACAATATTGCCAACTATTTCAACCATTGCTGATTGATCCGTACATATTTTCTCTAATTATTCAATGTGATTTCTTTGATACTTAGTTTGTTTTTTTATAAAAATTAAAGGTACACTTAGAGCGTATTTTAGAAAAACGTCCGAACCTTGGTCAGTAGATCCAGATAAAGCTATTTTCACGAAAACTGGCAACCATGGGGATGTCTGGCTGAGAGCGTTCATAGAACTGGGAAATATGACAGAAGATTATCAGGTACATATACCGTATGATCGAAAAAAAAGAGTGTATGACATAAAACGTCAAAAATTAACGCTAATTAAAGAAAGATGAAAAGGATAGAACGTTTCCAGACATACAAATCTATTTCCAAAAAAAAAATTTTTCTCGAATTTTAAACTAGGTACACCGTTCAAAAATCATTTTTACTCAATATAAAAATAAATTACAACCTTCAGTAAGTGCCCTTAAAATATAAAGAATAGTACGGGCGAAGTAAATGACGTCTAGGGCTTGACTTCGTCAAAATTATCATCGATTCTTATTCCCAACCGTCTTTGAAATCATTTTTTTACGATCGTATGGTGTTGAATGAATGTGTTGAAAATGAGGATGATTTCAATGATATATTCTATTGCTTTTAAATATTATTTTTCGTTTCCTATACAGGGTGTTCCAATATTCTGTGGACATAGAACTACTACGTATTGTTGGAAGAACTAACTATACAGGGTTGTTCACCACATACGACACGGAGTAAAAAAAACTAAACGATTAGATTTTTACAAATTGTAAGTTTTGTATTCGTTGAAGGACTATCAGAGCTACAATTTCAAAATATTTTTACAAGATACAGGGTATCCCAAATAAATATAAAATATCAAAGTTGTATTTTTTTAAATGGAACACCCTGTATATTATTGCATTTTTAGTTTCTACGATTAAAATAAAGGTAAATTTGATTAAGGTTTATTACACTTAAACCTTACCGTTTTTGAAATATTTTCAATTTTGTGAAATTGCAGTATAAATTTTAAGGCTTTATTTCTCCGAGGCTATCAAAGTTTTTAATACTAAATATTTACTGAAGATTATTTATTGATCAGTTATTGTGTTGCAATAATAAAAATTATACTACCTTATACAGAGTGTCTAAAAAATTATTTTAAATAATTACTAGCTTTAAACGGCAATAACTTGTTTAATTTAAATGGAACACCCTGTATATTTTATGAGAATCAGATGCACAATTTAATTATGTATCAAATTGTATTATACCACTTTTTCACCATACCACTTACCCGTCAAGTTTTCGTAGAAAATGCATTTTCTTATAATTTATACCTCATTTATCAACGTACCCATGGAATATCGACATTTTAGATTGTTTTTAAAACAACAAATGTACAAGATGTATAGACTAGTAATATTATCGTTTTTAGTAAAACGATAATATTACTAGCCCATTTTTATGCAAAAAGAAAACTATTTAAATCTTTATAAAAGAGTATACCATTAATTAAATATACCACCAGTATTTCCGCCCAAATACTAATTAATTACATACTTAATTGTGTTCGTTAATAAATTATTCTAAATAAATGTGGATTTGAATCAGAAATCAATATAATAATAAGTTATGAAAATGAACGTCTCTGTTGTTATAAATAAGCATTTGTCAAAAAATAAAATATCATTTTTAAGGTGTTTTTTTACCACACTGTCTAATACACATACATAATTCAGTTTTTAGTATTTGGAGCAATCAATTATTATTAATTAATGCAAGCAGTCCATTAATGTAGTTTGAATACTGGAATCATATTAATTGGTCCTTTTTACAAATATTTAAACATTTTTTTTATTTTTTAATGACATAAACGAACTATATCGACAATATTAGTATCTGTACCCTTGAAAAATTTGTTACATCTTTAAAAATAATAAAAAATGTCAATATTCCAAGGGTATATTGATAATTGAGGTCTAAATTATAAGAAAATGCATTTTCTAAGAAAACCTGAAGACATAGATAAAAAATGATATAATATAATTTGATAGACAATTAAATTGTGCATCTGATTATCATAAAATATACAGGGTGTTCCATTTGAATTAAAGAAGTTATTGCTGTTTAAAACTAGTTATTATATAAAATAAATTTTTAGACACTCTGTATAAGGTAGTATAATTTTTATTATTGCAACACAAAATTTAGTAAATTGAAATACTTCAGTACAATATTTGGTTTTAAAAACTTAAATACGCCTAGAGAAATAAAGCATTATAATTATTACTGTATTTTGACAAAAACTTAATATTTTCAAAACGGTAAGATTAAAATGCGGTAAACCTTAATCAAATTTTATTTTATTTTAATTGTAGAAACTAAAATGTAATAATATACAGGGTGTTCCATTTCAAAAAATACAACTTTGATATTTTTTTTTATTTGGGACACTCTGTATCTTGTAAAAATATTTTTAAATTGTAGCTCTAATAGTCCTTCAACGAACCCAAAACATACAATATGCAAAAATCTAATAGTTTAGCTACAATAGTCCGCGTCGTATGTGGTGAACAACCCTGTATATATAGGCACCCGAAATATTTTGGTTTTAAAAATACGTAAAGACTGTTCAGCCATCGTTCAGCGTTACGTCATCATTATTTGTCAAATATGAGTTTTAGGGTGTGTCTGAGATCTGGTCATACGTACGTTTCTATATTATTGATTGAGCGAGTTCCGCATTTTTTTTCGGCATTTTTAATTTTTTTCTTGAACTTTGCTTGAACTCCATCATTTACGATCCCTTTAGTTCCAATCCTTTAGACTGTTGAAATTCTTACTTCTAAAGCATCTGCAATTCGCTATATTATTTAAAGACGCTACCAATTTGTATTTTACATAGGAATATTACACCTTTGCTTGTACTTACTTCATATACGGCGTCCATGGGCAAGAGTGTTCTACCAGCGTCTCTTTCTCGAGAAAAATAATTTACAAGCCTAGTAATGAGCTCTTGTTCATTTTCATTAAATCTATGAAAAAATCAATTTTGTTTGACAGCAACAATCGATTTTTAATTTTGACCATATTTTGACATTGATCGATGTCCGTCAATAAAATTATAACCCCAAATCAACTGACAATGACAATTACTAAAAAGAATATGCAGTAATTTACGAAATGCCGTAATGACGTCACCAATTTCTTTCATCTGGTTGTCAAGTGATTGAGATAATTCCACAATAATATGACGTGACGCTGAACATTCTATGTCACGGAATATTGGGACACTGTGTATATGGGCAATTTTTATTTATTTTTCAGTCTTTTTTTTATAAAATTTTAGATAATTATGGAAGGTACTAGGGGAAATGGATATGTGAGTGATATTGCTATAGACGACATAAACATAATAGAAAATTGTGTTTATTCTGAATACACAACAACCACGTAAGTTTTCTAAATGATTTTAGTTTTTCATAGTATTTTTTTAATACTATACAGGGAAAGTCTTAAATAAGTGCGCATATTTTCACAGAGCCGGTAAAAAATCAATAAAAGTTGGCTTGTACATCGTCAAAATATTCGTTGTATTCTTCAATGCTGCAATGTTGCCACGGCTACTTTTTTTACTTTGACTTTTGTGAAATGTGGAATAAAATTCGCAATTTTGTCACCCAATTGAAACTTCATTTTTAAACAATTCATATACAAATATTTTTTTTTTATATCTATATTATTACTTTGTCTATGAATATTACACAAACAAATTGTAATTAAATGAAGTTATTGGAAAACTCTCTAACACAATAATTGAGTAGAGACTAGAAGTTGCCGATCCTGACTATTTAGTGATTGTGGCGTTTTATTGCAATAAAAATCACAATTTTAACTATCTCTTCTATACGTGGGATACCTCTGTATAGTGTGCAATATTACATGAGACACCGTATAGATTAAACTCAAATTTCCTTCCTTTCATTTTAATTTTTGTACCTATGTTAAAAGAATAACAAACTGATTTTCTAATTATTTTTCTAGTGAAGAAAATATTTCGACCACCACCGAAATATTAAAACCCATAGAATCCTGTGAGAATAGATGTGGCAACAAGGCAACTAGTGAAGAAAAAGCCCAATATTTAGCTTGCGATTGCGATGAATTTTGTGGCGAAAGCAGTAGATGCTGTCCAGATTATGTCGATTTCTGTTTTGATGGTAGGTATACCGTGCTGGCAACTGTTACTTGTTACTTTTGGGTCGGTATTTACATGTGTGGAAGTAAATCGCATTGGGATCTTATTAAATCGTTTGATTTTTCATTACCTTCTAGATCATTGGTGTGTTGGCACCCAGAGTAGGAGGACTTTATTTTCTTTGCCTAATTTGTTCGTCTTCTCTAGGCATTCTTTAACCAATTTCGAATAGATGGTTACTGAGTTGATCGCTTTTAACGCTGCTTAACTTAGCTCAATCAGATAACATGGCTATTTCTTGTTTCCGATAGTTCCTATCTAAGATAAGTTGAACGTATATTTGTGTTTTGTTCTTGGATTAATAATATACATACGCCTGGTATTATTTTTGAAATGTTTTGCTTGGAAACTTTGAATAAATAACCCAAACTGGTATATGAGTCTCTGGTTGCAAACAATCTTAATGTTATGGCCAATCTTTATTTTACTCTTTCTTTAACCGGAATATACTTCCTAAAATTTGTATTTTTCCTTTCTATATGGGGGCCAACTTAGTTAATGTCTTTCAAAATCAGTAGCGGACATGCGATAAAAAATATTTAAAAAACATTCTGTCTGTTCGCGTAGATGTTTTCTTTCACTGTGCTGGGATCTACTTTTGAAATTATTAGATATCCAACAACGCCTTTTTTCTCTTTTTCTCCTTCGTTTTACAATAATGATCGTACTAGTAGCCGCTATTAAAAATACTTCGGTGTCATGTGGTATCATCGAACAGCACGAATGCAAGCACTACATTACAATGTGGACGCCGTTGCTTGCGAGTCGAAAGATCTTGAGAAACACGACAAACAGAAAGCGCAAGCAACGCAAGCACAATCAAAAGCAAGAGCGCGAGCAGGATCACGAGCAATGTGGATGCACCTTTAGATAACTAATTTTGCTATGCCCTGATCCACTGCAGCCTTTCCAGATCTATTGTGGTCCTCTTCTGATCCCTTAGGTTACATTCTCCAGTCCTATCCTTTGCAAAAAGTCTAGCAACTTGGAGACTGCACCTTCTATATAGCTCTCTGTTAATGGCCTATCATTGCCTATTGTAATCGCACATTTGCCAGGCTGTCGTACCGACATAAAATGTGTTCTGTCGATTCTTCTTCAAATTGACAGAAACTGCATATGCCTTCGTCCGTCAATACTATTCTGCTATTACCTTTAGATGTTCATTCAGCTCACAAAGCCCTGTTAGTAGACCCACTACAGCGTTGACTGTTTTTCTGTCTTTGATAATAAAAGTATTAACAAATTTATTTATTTTTAGTTTCTACAACAGCTATTATAGAAGCCAACACAACCAATACTGCAATACCAGAAATAGAACAAAATATTTTAAACACTTTAATACCAGTAATCAAAAACGATACCAAACTGCCTGTCTCTTTAACATCAAATCAAACAACAAACGTATATGTACAATTACACACCAAAACTACCTCAACTACAACGAGAATACCTACAACAAAGAACACCACAAAAGTTGTTCTTGAAAAAGAAACCATACCACCTTTAGTACTGCTTCAACCTACTACAAGCCAGATCATTTACCGAAAATATTTTGCACCTACCAAATCAACTACGAAACCGAAAAAAGTCGTACTGCCAGATAAAAAGTTATCAGAGAATGATATAGGCACTATACCAATCAGACAAAACATAAGCGACGTCAATGCTACTCCTTTACCGCTAGATGAGAATATACCTATAAATGAGAAGGAAAAATATGTAGAAAAAGTAGCTAAAGAAGCCGTTTTGAACGAAAATCAGTCACCAGAAAACCTAGACAAGTTGAAAACAGGTTTCAGTCAAAAACAAGACGAATATTCCCACACAAAACTTATTTTTATCATTATAGCAGTACTATGTGGTGTTAGTTCTGTCACAATACTCATCGTATTGGCTGTACTAAAGTACAGAACCAGCAGATACAGGAGACGAATGACGTCAGGCAACGGTGACAGCCAGAGTGACGTCAGGTTTTTGACGGCTGACGAAGTGCTCGATTTTTCATTGGACAAAGACTATGAGGATCTGTGATGTGTATAATATATTGTAAATTTTGTCGTATTTTTTTAATGTTTGTTTCTTAATATAAAATGTCAAAAAAATACAATTAAAGACTGTTCAGCCATCGTCCAACGTTACGTCATCATTATATGCCAATTGTGAGTTTTAGGGTGTGTCTGAGATCAGTTCATATTGTTTAGAACATTTGACAATCCGTCCATAAAATTATAAACCCAAATCAAATCACAATGACAATTACTAAAAGGAAATTTTAACATTTATATGTCCGTCAATAAAATAATAACCCAAATCAATTGAGAATGACAGTTACTAAAAAGAATATGCACTAATTTACGAAATGCCGTAATGACGTCACCAATCTTTTTCATCTGGTTGGCAAGTGATTGAGATCTTGACAATATATGACTTGACGTTGAACGATGGCTGAACATTCTATACTATATTATTGACTGAGCGAATTTCGTTTTTTTTTCGGCATTTATTTTTTTCTGGTAATTATTGGGAAAACTGGAAATCGTCCGATTTTCAGGTCGTAGATTACGAATCTGAACTTTTTTCTTGGCGGTCTCTTACCGTTTTTCAGAAAAACGGAAAATAATTTCAACATTGAATTTTTCTTTATTTCGGCCCTATAAAGTAATAATTTCACTATATTTTCATTATATTATAGTTTATCTAAAAGCCACACTTGATTGAGGATAGAAAAATGTCCAAAATTTTACTGAAAAACACTTTTCTTAACAACTTAAAGAAAATTGAGACCAGATAAAACCAGATGGAAGTTTGACATTTAATATATCCTTCTTTCTCTTTCCTATGTAATGAGAGAGACAAATATATTCTAGACCTAATCTAGAAATTTGAAAATTTACAACGTTGCCATATCTTCTATTTTTTCAGGTGATTAGGGATTTTAAATAAATTACCTATTATACCTACCTATATCCACAAAGTTACACAGAGTTTTGATTGCATTGGTTACAACTTCCATGCGGAGGGTGTCAATCTTTTGTTGTTATATTATATTAAAAAAAATTAACCCCCTCCGCAAAGAAGTTATATAAAGGCTATTGATAACCACGAAGTTGCACGAAAGAGTTTTGATTGCATTGGTTTCAACTTCTTTGCGGAGGGGGTTAATCTTTTTTTGATATAATATAAAATATAACAACAAAAGATTAACACCCTCCGCATGGAAGTTGTAACCAATGCAATCAAAACTCTTTCGTGCAACTTCGTGGTTATCAATAGTCAGATCTCGTTGGTAAAATAGCAGTTATGGGAAGGATCAGTTTCTTCTGGCGACCGCCTTTCGTAATCCCAGAATGGGCGAAAAAAAACACGCATAATTTAGGTTTAGCATTGGCAACGTTGCTTTAAATGCCAGAAACACATAACCCAACATTTTCTGATTGTTTACAAATTTATTTTAGCAAATTTTCTTCTATTATGCTATTATTATGCATAGAATTGGTTAAAAAAGTAACAGAAAATAGCAAAAACATCATTGTTTATTGAATACCTTACAAAATATGTGCTAGAAAACCTTAAAAATATGAGAAATTAAGAAAAATTCGATGTTAAAATAATTTTTCGTTTTTTCTGAAAAACGGTAAGAGACCGCCAGAAAAAAAGTTCAGATTCGTAATCTACGACCTCAAAATAGGGTGTATACCAATTTTGGTGAAAATCGAACGATTTCCAGTTTTTCTAATAATTACCTTTTTTCTTTTTTTAACTCTTTTTTTAATCAGTTACGACCCCTTTAGTATCACAAAAACATTATTTTAATTAAACAAAATAAAACAAAATTTTAATTACTTAAGATATCTCATTTAGCCCGCATTTTCCCTACCGATTTTTAACACCGATTATTCAGAAATAAAGACATCCTGTATAGTCAAATTTTAACTTTTACGATTTCGACAAATTCAATCGCACTGCGTCAGCTTTATCAGCTCTGTGGCTCAAATATTTCTCACTGACATTTGACGCGTTTTGTTACGTCAGTACACGTCAAAAATTACAGTATGGCAGGTTTATAAGAAATTGTAAAGTCAACTCCCTTTTCTATACCGAAAAAGTTGCAATTGTATTTGTTCTAAAGATGGGCGACGGTAATACGAATAAATCTGGAGCTTCCCAGGTGGAACCTACCATGAAAGGATGGCTGTTTAAATGGACAAATTATCTGAAAGGATATCAAAGACGATGGTTTGTCCTGCAAAATGGACATTTATCCTACTACAGGTTTGTATCTATCAATAACTCGTTTATAGTAAACTGACAATTGTTCAAAACAATAAAAATGTTATCTCTGCTCAGTTCTAGTATAGTCTATCTGCATGCAGTTGCTTATTCTCAAAACTAAAATCTAATATTCTTTTATAGTTTGCTTTTGATTTATACATAAATACATTTTGGTATAAAAACCAAGAATAGTCTTGGATATTTCAATAAAAATCTATGCATAACTTTACATAAACGTTTGCCAAGATTTTTGCTATCAATTAGGTATAATTTTCCATTCTTAAATAGTGTATTAGTAGGTTCATCTCTCCATGATTTCACTAGGTATTCCTCAGATTTTATTTAACTGCATAGGTATTTAGCAATAAAATTGTTTAAACATTATAAAAACATTACTAAATATTATGACCGTGTTATAATCACGAATATATGAACAGTAAAGATGTTTAAATTATTTTTAGCTATTTAAATTAATTATTTACTTTGCTTTTTACTGTTGTAGCATAAGTATACGTAGTTTGAAGGCTTTTTCAATGCTTTATACATGTCAGCGTTTAGAAGATATATATAATTTGAGCTTTCAATATTATGATCATATTTATAGCTCGATATATCTTATATATCTGATAATCTCTATTTGTTAAATATGTTTTCCTGGGCAACCAGCTATATCTAGAGGTTCTGAAGTTAGTATCACTGCTAGTATTAAGATTTTATTGATATTAATCATTCATCAATTCTTCTAGAGTATTTGTTACATCCTAGTATGATTATTAAAGTTTTATTTTGTATCTGTTGCAAGTTATTATTAAACTCAGATGCAAAAAAAACGTAATGAAATTTTTAGCCCTATTTTCATGATTTTTTTAGCAAACTGTATATAAGTCTATCAACTTTAATTCAAAAACTGAGTTTTTTATAAACTTTAGTATTCGGCTTATTATACAGGGTTAATTGAAGGGTTGTTTTTTACCCTAATTTTAAAACACTCTGTGCAAAAATTTTGTGAGTAACTTTTCCTAAAACATTATTTTTCGATCAGGAACATGTCTCATAAGCATTTTCGTTTTTGATTCATGTCAACACATGCCTTGGTTAATTATTAAGAACGAAATGAACTTGCCACCAACAATTCGCAATTTTTTCAACTATCATTACTTCATGATGTTATTTTTTAATATCATGAGATGGCTTTGGTGACTATTGTCGTAATATTATATCGACACTGATAAAAACTCTGGCTTGGTTCATACTGTTAATGAGGCTGCAAATATATTATGTTATGTTTTCCCATTTTTCTTCAAGGACCAAGCGAATATTCATAAGTTCGGCCATTTTCAACAAGATTAATGACTTTTGCACAATATTCGACACTAAGTACCATATTCAATCGTACACAACAATAATCACCAAAGCCACCTCGATATTATGAAGAATAACATCAAAAAGTAACAATAAAATTCAAAAAATGTTTGTGGCAAGTTTATTTTGCTCTCAAAAATTAACCAAGGCATGTGTTGAGGTGAGTCAAAAAACAAAATATTCAGGAGAAATGGTTTTGACCGAAAAATAATGTTTTAGTAAAATTTACTCACGAAATTGTTGCACAGGGTGTTTTAAAGATATGGTAAAAAACAACTCTTCGATTAACCCTGCATAATAAGTCAAATATTAAGGTTTATAATACACTGAGTTTACGAATTAAAGTTGATATACAGGGTGGCCCATCGAAAACGTTCCGCAAGGCATAACGGCCAGGATATTCTTTTTTTCAAAAAATCAACCAAACCAAACCAAAACACACGTCAATTTTGTTTGTGAGGGGGACAACATTTGCTCCAAAAATGATTGCAAAATCTTCAACCCTCTAAGCGGGGGTGTCATCCCCCAACCTTTTTTCAAATGGGAAGGGGGGTCAAGTGGTGCCGCAATGAAAAGAGCTTTCTATTCTCTATATTTCCCCGCCTCGTTTTTGAAGATCGGTCGAGTCATTGAGAAAATATGAAGGATTGAAATTTGAAAAGTTTATTTAAACATTTTTCAGAGTAAATAATAATAATAATAATAAATGGTCTTTATTAATAATTAATCAATTACAATAATGTATTAATTAATTACATAGGCGAAGTCTAGCTCACAGAGCCATTCATACTTAACCTAATCAATACATTTATAATATGCATAATAAGAAAAGAAACATAAATTCGAAAATAATGTCCAGATGAAAATAAAAATAAAATGAGAGCAATAAATGTGGCTCCATTGTATGGACCAATACGTTTTAACAAACACAAAAATTTAAAAGTAAACAATCAAACAAAAATATCACAATAATTATCCTAAGCTTGGGGTCTGTTGTTCCAGCAATAAATAGTTTTTCAGACTTGATTTAAATTTAAATGATGAACATAGAAAACAAAGTTTGAATATATTTTCTTAAATTATTAAAAATACATACAGAGTTGTAAGTAAACGATTTCCGAAACATGGCCGTTTTGTGATTTGGCATAGTAAGCATTTTTTTGTGTCTTATATTTAAATCATGCATTGAATTTCTAAAATTTAATTTTCTGAAAAGATCAAAAGGAAGTGTAGTATCTACAATATTCTTAACGGAGGTCAATATTCTTAATTTAAATAATTTATTTAGTTTTAGCCATTTGAGTGTCTCAAAAGCTGAGGAAATGTGATCATACTTTCGTTTATTTAGTATCAGACGACAGCAGTTGTTCTGAATCCTCTGTAGTCTATAAGCATCAATTGAACTGAGGCATGGAAAATATACCATACTGCAATATTGCAACTTTGAGAGTACGAGACTCTGACATAACGTTTTTTTCATGTTATATGTCAATATATGCTTCTGGGAATACAGAAGTTTCAAACTCAAATAACATTTTCGGGCTAACTGAGTAACATGGTTTGAGAATTTAAAACTTTCGTTTATACACAATCCTAAATTTTTAACAGATTCTACATTTTCTATAGGCTGATCATTTATATAAAGTTTTATTTTTGATTTCAAATAAATTCGATACTTTTTGCATCCAAATATTATTGTTTTTGACTTGGTTGGATTTAAACGCAAATTATAATTTCTAGCAAAATCGAGGACTCTCTGTAAATCTGCATTAATGTCTATGACTGTTTGTTCATATTCTTTACACTTAAAATGGCTGTATATTTGTGTGTCATCGGCAAAACATTTTATGTGAGATGTCTTTATTACATTTGGCAGATCAATAGTGTAAATCAAAAACAATAATAAATGATAAGGATAAATTCTTGCAGTGCAGTGGCGAAATACCCATAAAGGATTTTTTTGGAAGGATAAATTCCTTCGACCAATTTGCTGTTTTTTCTTATTACTTCTAGATGTTTACGGACTTGTGCGTTGAAGTTCTTCTCAATATCGTTAAACTGATCCATAACAGAATTTCCAAAAATACCAGCCCACACGTCCAATTTCTGAGGGTTTTGTGTGTGCACCTCGTAAAAAACCCTGGGGTTGTCCTCAGCCCAGTACCGACAGTTGGGCCGATTAACTACACCGTTCAAAAAGAAAGTACACTCATCCGAAAAACACACATTAAATAGGAAATTATTATCATTCACCACTTGTTTACTCATAGTTTCACAAAATTGCAGGCTTCTATCAAAATAGTTTTCGTTGAGTTCTTATACCTACTGAATTTTGTACGGGTGGAACTTGTATTTTTTTAATATCCTTTGGACACTTGTACGATTCACGCCGGTCTCATTGGCTAAGTTTCTTGTCCTCAGCGTACTATCCATGGCAACTTGGCCCAATACGAATACCTCCATAGCTTCATTTACTACAGGATTTTCCCTCTGCCTCTTTTTATTCATAACGGAACCAGTTTCGCGAAATTTTGCTACTAACTCGCGAACAATTTTGCCATAATGGTGTTTGTCAGGATGGCGTGCATTGAATATCTGCGCAACCCGATTGCCACATTCAATATTTTTAAAATAAAGTTCGATTATTTCCACTTTTTCGGCAAGTGAGTACACCATAATTGTTAAAAATTTTAACGATATTGAGAAGAACTTCAACGCATAAGTCACAGACCAGCTATCTAGCAACTAAAGGTGCGTATTCATTATCCGCACGAACGAACGAACGAACGAACGAATGTTCGCTAGTGGTATGGACGGGGACCGCACGATAGAACCGCACGAGAAGACCGCACGCATTTCTTCATTCGCGCGCCAGTTCAAATCGTCAAGATATTGTTATAAACCTGTTTTTTTTTGTTTATATACCGTCATTGAATTATCGCTAAGCAAGTTACTGTGGAGCAGTGCGTAAGGAGTTGGGCTAGGAAGCGAGAGACCGGAGTTCGAATCTCGGCCGGGACATAACTTTTTATTTATTTTTTTAAATACTGTTGTATTCTATAGTTTATTTTTGTAGTATAAAAAAAGAACTATTTATTCTGTTATTTTTTCATCTCCGGTATTAATATAAATTGACTGTTGGTACAATACCTCATTTAATATAAAATAATATTCTACTTTTTGAAATGTATCAGGCCCTAATTGTACCTAAAAGTAATATATTTTTAATGATATACCATATTGTAAACTATTTAATATTTCAGTCACTTAAAAAGTTAATTTGCATTGAATAATTGCCTACCATTAAAGGAAATTTGAGCTATATAATCTTTGATGGGCATATTCTGGGTATGCAAATACTTCCTCTAAATTTTGGGTGTCGTTCAACGGATTTATTCTCAAAACCAGAAACATCTACATATAAAAAGAAAAGCACAGGTCACTAATTATAATAAACTTCACCCTTGGAATTACTTCCACTAATTATAATAAACTTCACCCTTGGAATTACTTCTATCACAATTACAATACATTCATCTGCATTGGCATTTTCTACTTTTCGATGGGAAACAATAAACTTCCCAATATTTTTTAAATGATGTAACAATTCCTCTTGTGGTTACTTTTCCATAGATATC